CATTGCTTGGGTAGGATTTTCAACTATTCCTTTCAGTTTTGTTTTCTTTAACTTGTGTTTAACCCTAATTCTTGTTTTTTGTACTGTCATCCAACATTTATGGTTTATACCTCTATGTACTACTTTGAGGTGAGTTTATTATCTTTTCAGAAAGCTACTTACTTGTATCTGTTGTAACTATAGTTTAGCTGTAGTTTTATATATTAACTGATATTTGGATTTACTCATTATTACTTTTTCTTACTTAAAGGGATATAATTGATAACACAGGGTATTCAGACCAAAATGCAGGGTTTGTTAATGCAATCAAACACTAAAAAAAGTATATAATTACAAATATCAGTTTAATCCTTAAAACAGTCTTCAGTATGGAATGCACTTTTGAAGCTTAAAACTAATTGTATGTTTTTTTACTTTATCTTTCGAATAAATCTTTACACTAAAAAATAACCCAAGCCAGGTGCTAGCAAAGCTAAAAGATATTTTATTATCAGCACCATGCTGATCGTATTATTGTTACAGTGCATTTTTTATATAGCACAGAGACTTTGAATTTTCAAAGACCGATTTTGAATTCTGGGGAGATATTCTAGGAGGATCTTTTTTTTTATCTTAATGTTCTGTTTTATGAAATGAGTCCACTGAGAATAAATCTCATTGTTAATGACAATCTAGAAAGTTCACACTACAAGGCAGTTGAGCAAGTTAAGGGATGTACAATACTCAAGTGTACAACAGCAGCATCTTATACAGAATCTGAACCCTTCCATTTGACTCTAAGAGCCCTAACCACTGTTCTGCACTTCTGCTTATCCAATTGCCCTAATCAAAACCTAAATGGATTGGAGATGAGATGTGAAGTTTTGTCATCTTTAGTAGGTCCAGCAGTCCTTACCTGTTTACTGTTTACTCCTGATAGCTCTATCATTTCAATCGATTTGTTGCAGCCTTTCATATTTTTGTTATTATTTCTCCACAGCTTTACAACAAGGTGGACATATGGACATGATTAGTTAAAATGGATTCAATCCTTCAATGCCACTGGTGGTGTACCTTTAGAAAGGTAGGAATTAGAGGTAAAAATGGCACAATAAAAGCAAGCAGCAATATAATTAAAGATCATCTCTTTGTACTGAATTTCACCAACAAAGGTAGGACTTTAGTAGTGGGAGAAGGTGTCGATTCAATGTGTACTTTGGGTTTCAGAGGGCTTTTTAAGTTTTAAGATATGGTGGGGGACTGGTAGGTCTCTAATTAAATTGCAGGCTTAGGTAGGTGTATTTCTTTTTTTCTTTTGTTGTCCTCTAATCCCTATAATCCAGGGTGCTGACACTGAAATAAATCAAGTGTCTCAGCTTCCTAACCTGTCTTTATAATCAGGTTGCAACGGGATGTGAAGGCCCTGCTGTCTCTTAGCAATGTGCCTCTTTATAGATTCCCACAGGGAATATAGGGCTCTTTCTTCCATTTTATATCCACAACAACAGTGTGCTTCTCCTTCAAGTGCTGATTGATTCATGATAACAGGGCTAATGGAAAGATGAGTCAGTTCAGAAGTCTATATACAGTATGGGGTTATAACCTTTGTGCCATAAAGCCTTTTGTCAGCCAAAGAGTTTAGGTGACCATGTAATACAAGAAAGCATCATTTTTCTTATTTTTGTTTCTACATACAAACCATCTTTCCTGCATGCTTTTTTTATCCACAGTAGCTCAGAGTCTCACTTTGTATCTAATCAATTTCCAAAACTGAAGTGAAAGCAATTAATGATGGACGGTCTGATTTTCATTATGGTCTTTTGCAAATGTGGACTTTAAGGATCGCTTTTATTCAAGGTACAGCATTCAAGGCCTTAAGGCTAACTAAGACTTGGAAGGAAAAAATACTTAACTCCTAAATTAATCAAATATCTAGATCTCTCAAGATCGCCTGGACTCAATAGAAACAAAAGTTAACAGTAAACACTTTATTTAGCACCTCTGGGATCTAAATGTAACTTTCTTATTTAATGTAGCTCATAGTACTAACATAAGAACCTATCCAAATACATCATGTAAAACAAAGCTATTGGATTATTTATTCATTATGCCACAACACAGATTGTACAGTAAATTGTAGAACATTATCTCCACCACTTGTAGATGCATTTTTTCCCTTTGTATAGAGATGAGGGGCAGAGTTTGTGCCTTGCCAGCTGATTAAGACAATACAGTTCTCTCAGGGGAGAACAGCTAACCTTTTGGGGCCAAATTCCTCTTTAACCACAAATGGGATTCAGCTGACAGTTTTGGCAAAAGACTAGAGGGAAGAGGTCGTTTCAAGTTACAGAGATTACAAATTATCCACTCCGGGAGCTCAGGTATATAAAACACCCTGTAAATGAAGACTTATTTAGTTTTGAAGTTGGACTTCCAAAACTGGCACTTCATTTTTGACATTCTGGAAACAGACTAGGAGAGACTCCTTGTTGGACAAACAAATAAAAACATCCACAGAGATGCTTTTAATTCCAACAAAAGCCTTGATCATTCAGTGATAATTAATGCTGTACTCACTGTAATCATTAATATGGACGATAAGACAACTAATCAGCATTTCTATACTTATTCATCATGAGTCTTATGATCTCAGAATGAATCCTAATACTAATATTGATAGAAACCACCTAATCATGCCTTTTATTGAAATGAAATTGTGTGTATTGTGTCAATTCTATATTATTTGTATGTCTATAAAAATATCTTCTAGAAAGAAATGCATTCTTGAAAATGACATGATAATGCAACAGCAATAATGAAAAAAAATACATAGACTACATGCTATCTCTACAATGCTACAGTGTCTAGAAAAAGGTAAATGTAGTTTTAAAATTAATATTCCAAGTAATGCTAAAAGAATCTACTCCAGGAGCTATAGTGTTTTGAGGCATTTATTCCAATTGAAGTTTTGTAATCCTTTCCTTTCACTGTGCTTTGATACCCTATGCCATTGAAATGTACTATAAATTACACTCCCTACAAACCTTCACAAAAGCAGTTTTACAAAGACCCTGTATTATCATAGGCCTGGTTGTGCGAAAGTCATGGAAAATAACTCAAGAGCAACTACACTCAAATCAAAAACAGCAATAAAAAGCCACAAATGAAGGAATGCATTTTGGTGCATCTTGCATGTTTGGTTCTTAAAGGAAGAGTGATCTGAGAACCTTATCCAACTGTTCTCGGGGTCTCCAACCCTGCTCCTGGGGAGCCCCAATACTGTTAGTCTTAGAAGTCACCTGCTTTTAAAGATTGGCAACACCTATCAGAAAGTAATAAAGTAAATCAAGAAAGCAATCTGTTCAATGAATGGAAATCCTTGATGGATGAAAATTAGATTTCAGTTCCAAACAACCTCCAAATCAAGTAGGGAGCTGTGTCAGCATATGTAGGCTGCAAATGAACAAGTAAAGGCTTATTCCATGCTGAAAAGAGAAGAAAAGAAACACAACGTTTCGGCAGCAACAGATACCCGAAGAAGGCTCCATAGCCGAAACATTGTGTTTCTTTTCTTCTCTTTTCAGCATGGAATAAACCTTTACTTGTTCCCTCGCAACCTCCAAATGACTAAATTTAACAATTTACTGTTACTGATCACAATTCAAATAACTGATCACAATTATTGAGGGCTCTTGAGGAAAACGCTGGCTCAGCGAGATCTCAACTTACAATGCCATTCTTGTTGACGTCCCAGAGCAGCATGGTTCCATCATTCCTGGTTGGGCTGTTGAGGTACAGCACTAGGGAGTCAGCACAGTGGATCGCACGGCAGATGTAGGAAATGTAACTGCGAATGGCCACCTTCTCTGTAGCAGGATAGATGCCCTCTGCCTCCTTCTCTGCTGGAGAGAGAAACAAAGATGTCAGAAGGAAAAAAACAGCTACTACACAAAGCTGCTTAAGGTACCCCTGGGTTCCTCATGAAATTCCGAAGCTCTGTCAGACCCTTGCAACAACATCTCTTGAACTTGAGTTTGATTTCATACCTGACCTCCTCTGACTTTTAGAGGTTAATGAATCACCTACAAAAGTTTTGTGTGAACTCCACACAGGCAGCTGCTAAACTCAGGACCCTGGTGCCATGAGGTTCCAAAAAGACTGTTTCCAAAGGAGGCCAACAGTGTCTGCTCTTAGAAATTGTTCAGATGGCCTTGGTATTCCCAAAGTACGCAAAGGAATAGAATTCGCATGACAGATCAATCCATTTGTAGTCGGACTGCAATATAGCAATACCTTGCTATACAAAAATTTACCTTTATGTGGTTTTGAGTATCCACACAAAATTTTTTGTGTAACATTTTACCATGTACAGTACCACCCCCACCCCCCCGACCCCCCCAACAATTTCGAGTTTCTTTCTTTGAATTTGAGAAGGAACCATGAGCTGTGATAGGTGCTGCAAGATCATTCTTTTCGCGAGAAGAGGAGAGAGAGAGAGCAGCCACTCGGTCTGATCTCGTTGCTTCTCAGCCAGCCTTCTTTGCGAGCAGACGTGTTCCCAATTTCTACAACTTTCTAAGCATATGAGAGAGGGCCAAGAGTCCAAAGATGCTAAGTGCTCCATATCTGTGACTAGCTTAGAAGGAGTAATGAAAGTGCTTGATAAGTTGCATGAAAGACTTCGTAACAGAGCTGTTGGTCGGTAGTTTGGCGCAAATGAATTTACAATTCGTACAATAAAGAAAAGTGAGGAAGCTATCAGAGTAAGTGTAAGAAGTCACTTCAGGACCGATGCATGCCATGTGACCTGATCTACATGGGCGCCATCACAGTAATAAAGGTCCGAATAATGTCAGAGATTCATTTCAAAACTAGTCAAGGTTATTTCCAAAATACTGTATATTGTTTTTCTTTGCTCAAATGTTTCTGTTTTACTTTAAAATAGGTGAAAACAAATGTTTAATAGGTTGAATCGTGACTTCAGTTCCCCTTGCACTACTTTCTCCCACAAAGCCTTAAGTTTACCAACCATGGCTTTACTTACGTCAAGGTTTTTCAGTACTGTAGCCTTCACCGTTGGCAAGGGATTAATGTATTTGCTTTTTAGCTTTAGGATGGAAAATGCATACCAATGCTCAGTTCTTTCTCATAAGGAAGCTCAGAGGTAAGAACCACGAACTTCTTTTCCGAAAGTAGGGCACTAAGGTCAGAATTTGCTAGAAATGCTAGGATAGAACACCATAACTATAAATAACTATAAATGAATGAAGCGAACAAAGCACTCATTTCCAGACTTCAGCCCCTTAAGCTGTTAACTTAAAATTAAGGCCTGTGGAAAAAAAAAAGCCCAAAGCACAGTGTCAAGCACTTAAAACCCAATTTCCATTACTTAGTTTCAGCACTCTTCCCCCTGGGCCAGAATTTCCAAACCAACACCGCAGTACGTTGAGCGGGGACACTGTGCTGTGCCGTACGGGGTGTCGTGATTTGGATGAAACATTAAACTGACGTCCTGATTACTTAAAGATCCCATGGTGCTGTTCAGAAGAGTAAGAGTATTGACCCCGGTGTCTTAAATTCCTCTAAATTCCACTTCAGTTTTGTACAGTCTGGCCTCTATATGTCCCTCCCTTCATTCCATCTATGAAACAATTTCTCGTGTCTCCAGATGATCTGCTGTGCAGTGGGTCTTCTGGAGCCTAATGCCTACCAAGCGCCAACAAGGTAGGGGCTACACTTAACTGGTGGATTAAATGGGTTCCCTCCTATAAGTAAAGCATTTTAGGTTCCCTAGGGCTGAAAAGGATTGTATTTTTTGTTAATTACTATTAACGGTTATGTGATTTTTTGATCCATAATCCATTCCATTGCAGCTTTCCATGTCCTGACAGTAACAGTAAGAACTGAAAACCATGAATCAGCAGAAAAGCAGAAAAAAGCAGAAAAAGTATGCCCCTCCCCCTTGCTTTTAGGTAAATATCACATTGGAAATTTGGTTGGCGTTGGGTTGCAGTTCCAAAAAGACTTCAGTCACTTTGTGAAGGTTTCCACGCGCATCCCTGAGATTCAGCCACCCCCGTTTAAAAAAGGCCTGTTTAATTTTTTGAATGATAGGCTTTTCCTTGCGAGAGGACAGCCGGGCCATGATTTCAAAGCAAGCTGGCGTGAAAACATGGTCCCCACTGAGCACATTAACAGTCGCAGAGGATCAAGGCCTTCACAGCAACAGAAGAGGTTGGAAAGAGGGATCTTTTCCACACAAAAGAAAATGTCAGTTTTTCATTAAGAACTCTGGCTGAGGGTTCAGTCCCAGCTGCCTGCCTCTTAATGACTTAATGGCTTCCCGAAAAGAGACTTTTCTCGGAGTAGAAACGTTGCCAGACACTACAATTTCTTCCAGCTTCTCATGGACAAATCTCAAAGTACCATAAGTAGTCACTTTCTGGCACCTATCTAAAAAGGCCTCGTCTTGACTGGGTAATTACCTTTACTTTCTTTATTTTTGGAACTGTAGCATTTAACATACCAGTGCACAATTCTAAGAGGCTCAATTTACTAAAAAGTAGACAATAAATAGAACTGACTAAACATGCTTTTTTTCTTCGTAGAGCAACTCATCTCGATGTTTCAGTTTGGGAGTAACCTTTTTTTTTTACCAATACACTCCTAGTAACTGCAGAATTTTGTGTTAACATAATAAAGTTGTGCTTTGGAGGAATCGAGTCTCAAAATAAAATACTTTACATTTTACCAAGGGCAAATTCAGGAAGAAATTCAGACAGACTTCAGACAGAAGTTGGATGGGCATTGCAGAAAATATAATTATTCAGACTCCTGTATCTCTCACAGCTAGAATACGAATTGCATTTCTAAAAAAAACGGCCAAACTGTATTTTTTTAAAAGGACTCACAAAAATAGAAAAACCTATACAAGTATTTGGCATTATAATAAATTTTTGAAGCTGACACTAAAATAATAGTGTAAAGTCATGTTTCTAGACATAAGACTATTGTCACTTTCAACGTATTTAAATGATTCATGATTTCACTCATGAAAACCTTTGATGCAATACGTCCTGTTTACAACAGAGGTTTATGAGGAAATTGTATTGTAGGCTAGAGTTTTAATGGTGATTTGTTTGCTTCATTTCAAAGATGACAGTATGACCAAAACAGCAATCATCCATTTTTGCCCTGACTGAAGGGCAAAAATTAATTTATTCTGGGCTTTTTTTTCTTTTCTCTGCAGTCTGTTACTTATTAATTTGCTCATGAAATGTTTCACCTCGGGCCGCATGGTGATGTATGCTGTGGTTAGCATTGCTGCCTCGCAGTGCTGGGGCCTTGGGGTCTTTTCCAGAATGGGGTGCTGTCTGTGTGGAGTTTGCATGTTCTCCCCGTGTTTCTGTGGGTTTCCTCCCACAGCCCAGTAACATACTGGCTTCTGGGAAAACTGGCCCTCGTGTGTGTGTGTGTGTCTGCCCTGTGATGGACTGGTGTCCTGTCCAGGGTACGCTTGTGTAATTGGATGAAGCAGTTAGAAAAGATGGGTGGGTATTTTTGTGTGATCTCCCTATTATTAACAAGTGTAATTGTCTCATATTTTACTTTCCATTCATGCATACTGAATAGATAACTGAGTGCTACAATTTTACACATTCCTGAAGTATGATTTTGATATTTAAATCAGACATGTTTTGCTCATGTGCTGTCTAGAAAGTCATATAATTTTATGCAACGTTCAAGTTCTGTATGTTGGTGGAATGTTATACTGTTATGCCACAGACCAAAAGCACAGTTCTAGGTCAACTGGCTTCTAGGAAAACTGGCCCTGGTGTGAGTGTGTGTCTGTTCGTCTGCCCCATGATGTCCTGTCCAGGGTGTACCCTGCCACATGCTCGTTGCAGGGATGGGCTCAAGCTCCCCCACGAACCTGAACTGGAAGAAGAGGCTAAAGAATTAACGGATGTGTCATCTAACCAGTCTATTGTGGTTAGGCATTCAACACATCAGGTGTCCACGAGTTAAACTGTCCTTCATTATACTGTACTTCTAAAGGGATCTGTGGTTGATCATTCTTTCTTCAGTTTCGTTTCAGTGGATTCAGTGACACCTTGAGGTTTTGGAAGTGAAAACCAGGTCAGGCCAGGCAGTTGTACAGATTCAGCCAGGAGTTTCACGGGTGTGTATGTATAATGTAACGCAGTCAAATATATCTGAATTCAAAAGACCAAAATTCAACATCTAGCAGTACCTTGGAGGGTGGGAGACCTTGCTGAATCTGTCTGATCTACATCCACAAGTCTCATCTTTTACTGCCTTATTGTCTGTTAATTATCTAATGAAGAGGATCTATGAGTATTCACTTTTATGGTAAGAAAGTGAGCCAAAACGTACCTGCTGCTTGCCCATCACCTGCGAAAAAGGTCTTAATGTGCTCTTTCTCAAAGCCATTGCTCCTCAGCATCCTGTAGAAATGCAGGATGTTTTGCATGTGACGCTGATAAGTGATCTGCTCCTGCCATCCACCTGGGAAAAGCATACAAAGAACCAATCAAATGAATCAATTAACTTTAAGGACGAAATCCGCATGTCATATCTTTCCCTTGGAAAGTTCACACGGCTCTTTTGATGCAGAGAAAAACTGTAGGCCTCACCTACTCAAGAACGGGCCCAGCTCTCATGCAGATTGCAACATCTGATAAGCAGGAAGCCCATGTCTTTTCTTATTGCAGACATACAGTAAAGTTGATAGAAACGACAGAGTAACACTGTGAGCCATTTAATAAATTGCTGCTTTAATTACAGTATATGGTTAATTGTTGCTGATCCTAATTTTTAGCACATAAACACACAGGGCCATATATCTAATACATACATATAAATAGCCTATACATATATCTAATACATACCTATACATATACAACACTCTATACATAGTCTATACGTATATCAATACAGACCTATGCATATACACAGGCTATACAAAGGCTCTAGAGTCTATGTAGACAGCAGTGCAGAATACCTGAGAGCAATATGGCGTGGTCGCAGGTCTGGTACACGCGGCACGACTGGCGGGTGAGCAGGTGCTGCTGGTGGCAGCGGCGGGTGTTCTTGTTGAGCTCACAGCTAGCAGCTGACGGGCTGGGGCTGGTGATGGGGAGAGGGCGAGGGCAGGGTGCAAAGTCCCGGTGCTCTGCAGTGAAAAACAAGACCGGCTCACGTTGGCTGCTCAGGTATCGTTTTTGCGGCGGGGCAGGAGCCCATATCCTCCCACCCACTGTATGACAAACACGGCCAAAACATGTGAAACCAAGAGGTTTGCAGCACATGGAACATCGGCAGCAATCTGCTTCTGCATCCCCAAATCTAGCATTGATCTGATCTACTTAGCATACTGCCACCACCCTCACAAGAGAGGTGGTGAAGTTAAAACTCCATGCATGCATCTGTCGTCATGATCTTCATGAAGTTTTCACTTTTCCAGGCCTCCAACAGGATTCTGCATTAGAGAAGAGCTAAGGCAGCTTTTATTGATAACACTGCAAGATGACGTGCCCAGCAAGCCACAGGTTGTGCTGTTGCATGGCAAGCTGAAGAAACCCTGGCAAACCCGCAGCCTTTCAACCCCCGGCTGACTTTCCAAAACAACAATTCAAGGACACTCTGGACAATTCCAGATCACTCAGATGACATCTCGTACCTCCAGCAAACTTCAGGGAACATGTCAGGGCTGTGAGGATCAAAGATCTCTCCAAACTCATAGTTTCCCATTTTACCTCTAACGGCCATGATCATACTGCTCTCTCCGTCTGCCTTCTCAAAGAGGGGTTTCGGATATCCTATTGCAGAAAGGCATCCAAAACCCAAATTATCCTGAAACTAGGATCACACCTTCCCCCTTCTCTCAACGACAGGCTTGTTTCTTTTTGATCCTCTCTATTCATTTGCAGGTTTTGACCTAACACCTCTCTTCACCTCTCTCGACTTCACACCACCTGAGTGCCCACTCTGCTTCTTTCCTGCTCCCGCCTCCTCTAAACTCCTGGCTTTTGTTCTCACACGATTTGTCAGCTCCCGATTTTCCCCTCTCTCTCTCACACCTGAAGAAGGCTCCACAGCCGAAACATTGAGTTCCTTTCCTTCTCTTTTCAGCAAGGAATCAACCTTTACTTGTTCCTTTCCAAAACAATGTTGCAAATCCAGGTCACAGCCAGCTAATGATACGGCCCCATCTCACACCACTTACCTCCTCACCTGGGCCCTGAGAAGAGGCGTTTGCTGGTTGAGCCTCCTTCTCACACTTTAGAATCTCCATCCAAGGAGTGGATCACCTACACTTCAATGGCACCATAAACTTTGAGGCGAAGAAGAACAGAATTTTCCGATCCCTGTATCTTCTACAACGATTGCCATCATGAGGAAATCAGTGCAAGAAAACACTTAAGAAACTGGAATCAGACTCTGTTCAATGACAATGACATCTGGGTCCCACATGCAGGGGAAGAAGGTGGACATTTCACTTGCTAACACTCTGGCAATGACCTTGGATGGTCAGCTACAACCCATTCCTTAGGATATGGATGTTAATCTTTTGTATTTATGGTGTGCGGAAATATAAAGTCAGTGGTGTCTCTACTTCAGATCCATATCCACACTATGAAGGAATGACATCATAATTTTGCCCAGATCAGAGAACCCACCTACGCAGTGGAGCCGCTGTGTCCTGCTCAGGTCCTTCACGCCAACCACCAGGGGCAGAAAATGAACCTCGCACACGCCCCCCATTCGCTTGGCCCGGCTGGAGTGTGGACCCGCTGCCAGGTGGCTCCGACGTGCCCGTCCCTTGGTGCCCTGCCTCTCGCTCCGGCTCTGTCGCCTCTTCAGCAGGTTTTCGCAGCGGCTCTTCAAGGCCAGGGTCATGCACTCGTCTCCTAGAAGGTACAGCGTGCAAGGGAGACCGGCACCGAACAATGGTGAGCCCCATCTGGACAGGAACGGACGCGACTTTCAACAAGGACAGAGGTAAGACGCAGGGTTTCGCACAAATGTTTGAGAATAGATTTCATAAAAATTTTCAAGAGCTGTGAAGCATTCTACCTCATCTTGGTTATATGAAATTATGATTCTATAATATGTATTGTGTCTACCTCTGAAGCAGCCATATCAACCTGCAGCTCTCAACTGGCAGCCCACTGAAGCTAAGCAGGGTTGAGCCTGGTCAGTACCTGGATGGGAGACCTCCTGGGAGAAACTATGGTTGCTGCTGGAAGTGGTGTTAGTGGGACCAGTGGGGGGCATCCACCCTGCAGTCTGTGTGGGTCCTAATGCTCCAGTATAGTGGCGGGGACACCGTCTTTCGGATGAGACGCTAAACCAAGGTTCTGTCTCTCAGTTGTCATTAAACATCCCCGGTCATGTCTCGATAAGAGTAGGGAGTTATCCCGGTGTCCAGGCCACATTTCACCCATTGGCTTTTACAGCGGCCTCAAAATTGTCCCCATGTATGATTGGCTTGCACTTGCCCTGCGATGGACTGGCGTCCCATCCAGGGTGTACCCTGCCTTGCGAACGTTGCTTGCCGAGTAGGCTGCAGCTTCCCGCGACACTGTATGGTATAAAGCGGTTTGGCACTTGACATGACATGACCTCTTGCTGATTCAAACTGAAACAAGTCTTCCCACTGTGTTGGTGTTTGAGCTATTTCAGATTCTACATCTATGCAGTAGATTCTAACACTAGGTTCTTGACATTTCATGCTTTTTTCTATGTTTTAAATAGGTTTTCCATAGATACATTTAAAATTATATGCTACACGCAATGGTTTTATAGGTTATATATACAGTACATGTATGCTTTTCTTCTTCATCTGTACAACGTGTACCAGATGATACAATGGTGAAACCTAATGAATGCAATGAGTTCCCTGTAGCGGTGCCCCAGTGACACTGGGCTTCTGACATTTCTGATACACTTTGCTTTTCATCTGTCCACCCTCTGGAGTTTTTCTTCATGCTGTACATCACATGTAGTGCACCGGCCTTTAGTGATACCTAACCTATTACAAAGGGGGTTTACAATAAAACTCTGAGAAGGATGACAAAGGCCAAATTCCTTTTCACTCCAGCCACTTAACCAAAGTCATTTCCTAAATTAAAAAAAATCTATAAATACCATACATAAGCCTCTTTCCCTCGTTTTTTTCCCCTCAACTCCCCCCTCCCCCCCACAACATCAGAGGACATCTTCATTTTTAATATATTTTTCTTGTCCTTAATACACCTCTTTCCCTTCCTTTACTTCCTTAACCAAACCATGTTAAAGTCCTTCCACTCCATACATTCTACACCATACTCGATACTTACAACTTTGTGTCCCACAGGAACAATAAGTTACAATAACTGCCCATAATTGACAACTAAGCAATATCCTTTCTCTATCTTTTAGATCCCTAATCTTTGCTTCTTAAAAGGAAACAGATACACAGAGTATAATAAGTAGTTGTGAGGACAGATAAACAATTTTCACATTTTCTTATAGAACAGCACAAAATACACAAGACAGATACATAGAGTTATAACAGTTAACCATTGTACAAAGAGAGAAGCAGATGAGAAAGGAAAACAGTGGCTTCTCCATCCCTCCTCCTTTCCAGTTGGCCCTTGGGTAACTCCTAACTCTGTATGGAGTCACAGCTTCCTCGTCCTACAGCAAGGATTGCTGGTCCTCAGCCAAATCCTACTACATGACAAAATGCTTAAAAAACACTTCTCAGTACATTGAGTTCTTAGATGCTGTTATTTCCCGGGAACCAATAACACAAGTCGACACTAACTGCACAAGAACAGGTTTTAAGCACAGCCCTTTTGTAGGAAACACTTTCGCATAGAAATATCTGCTATAAACCACACTAGACTTTTCATAGGGAATCCCATAGCAAATATCAATCCAAATGCAAGAGTATTAATTATATTGGTCTTTGTGAAAGGTATGGTCCTGTTAATTACATAACTTCATAATTCTTGAGCGTATATATGACATTTTAGTACAGGTTTTATGAAATTACTCTAATGTAAAATAATGACAAAATAATTTGCTAATTGGATTTAGTTTTTTCTCTTTAAACTGCATGACTGTTAATTACAACTTTGATTTGTAATAAATCACTAAAAATAGCATTTAATGTATTTTAAAATACAGTATTTTTCCTTAGTAATAGAGCTGCAGGAAGCAGCATTTCAATGCAGTATTTTAAACAGGTTTTGTGTAATATGACAGGGAAAGTGGGAAGAGTCATCACTTGCTTTGAAGAGGGATTTCCATCTTTCAACATCTGCCTGTGAAAAGTTCATTAACTGTAATTATCTCTGCCAAGGCATTTATCTTGTTTTAAATACTGCTGCAAGATTGCAGTTTCTTCGTAATGACACCAATGTTGAGAAAAACATTAAAACAACCGAGCACCTTTCCTGTCACCTTGCGAATACATACAGAATAACAGAAAATACTTTTTCACAGCATTCTGAGGTAATGACAGTGTCACTAACTGTTCACACAAGGGCAAGAAAGGCTTTCTGTTTTCTTTTTGTTGTTGTTGTTGTTGTTGTTGTTGTACAAGACAACAGAGCTACATCCAGATTCTGCCTCTGTATGTGATAATTTTATTATATAATATTTATACAGTATGTGATAGTGTGGACCAGAATTATTTCCTTTATTTCATAGTTCAAGAAGCTGCCTCAATACTGCAGTGTCTTAGTCTTTGATTGTGGGCTCTGGTGGATGTCTGTGTGGAGTTTACATAGGTTTTCTCCTCTCACAGACCACAGACATGTAAGGTGCACTGGCTACTCTAAATTGCTCTCTGGCCTTTGGAAGCAGGAGTGCAGCTCCTTCCTTATATAATCTGCCCTGTCTAGAGTATTCATCCAGACGTGATCTAACCTCTTCTTCCTATTCAACATGCGAAAGTTGGGGTACACACCTACACTCACAACTGGGCTAATTTTCCCAGATGGCAATTAACATAACAGCAGGTGGTGGGGCGGTGGCTCTGTGGCTCAGGATCTGGGCCTGTGGCTGGAAGGTTGCCGGTTTGTATCCCGTGGCCGGCAGAGGAATCCTACTCCGTTGGGCCCCTGAGCAAGGCCCTTTACCCCAACTGCTCCAGGGGCGCCGTATAAATAGCCGATCCTGCGCTCTGACCCCAAGCTTCTCTCCCTGTCTGTGTGTCTCATGGAGAGCAAGCTGGGGTATGTGAGAAGACAAATTCCGAATACAAGAAATTGTACATGGTCAATAAAGTGATCCGATTTTATCTTATCTTATCTTATCTTATCTTATCTTATGTCTTTGGACTGTGGGAAAAAACCAGAGCACCTGGGAGAAACCCACATTAACACAGGAAGAACACACAAACTCCACACTGACAGCACCCCAGGTCTGGAACTGAACCGAGTGCCCCAGTGTTGCGAGGCAGCAACACTAATCTCTGCGCCAACATGTTGCCCCTTGTCTTGTTTGGGCAACAAGAACAAGCAACAAGAATGAGGACAACAAGAACATCATGACACTATAAAATGTGTTCCCCTTTCCCTTAGACGGTGTTCAGGTGAGAAACTAGCAAAGGACAACATGGTCATAAAACACTACACAAAATCTTTTCACCACAAACCATTTAAAAGGTTTTATACAATTATCTGAAATTCATAAGATGTCAGTGTCCTACATCCTGAAAGGCACTAATAAGTCAGTCAGATTGGGGGACTTCTCCAAGACGAGCAACACAAGAAGGAGGTGAGGACACGTGGAAGTAAAGTTTAGGAGTGGATGGGACCGAACACAGGAGACATTTTATTACAAAGAGGATTGTGGGATACTGGAGCCGACATCTTAGCATGTTCTAGAAGCTGAAACAGCCTGATGGATTATTTAGATTAGAACATTCACCAACTAGCTGCTAAATGAGCCCACTGGTCTATGGTCTATGTTTTTATGAGTAGTTACAAAATATGAAAAAGCTTGAGAAGTCATCCTCTCACTCCTTTTACCCCGGGGATATAAAATAACAAGTAAAGCTCTTTTTGCTTTTTGCTTTGCTTTTTCACCCTTTAAACACAGGGATTTTCTTCATTAGAGTTCCATCTGTAATGATTAATTTGTGGAAGCCCACTCTCTCATTCTTGAGAGATCTTTTTCCCCCCATTCGAAGACCTGGATGGATTTTGAAAGAAATGAAATGCTAACTGACTGAATAATACTTGTTTTGTTTAATATTCTGCTTTCTTCTTCCACATGGTTAAGGTTAGATACTTTGAAATAGCTTATAAACATCATTTATGCAACTTAATATGTACAAAGCTGTAGATCTTCCTTTTGATCCTTAACTCTAAAAGAACCAACCACATTAAACATCTTGAATGGCATTGCTATTTTTAAAGTACAGAACATGCCTTTTGTGTCTTCTTTCATGCTCATTTTTGTGGCGCCTTGTCACCAGAGTCCTGTTACATTGAACTAAATCTGATGGTCCACAGTGGCTTTATCAAGTGGTTCAAGTTAATGTCGTCTCTAAGCGTGCGCCCATCTTTTCAAATGAGGTGGCTGTATTGCACTTGGATATAAGCAAGCTCTAAAAAAAAACTTTTTGATTCAGATTCTTTTATGACTGTGTCATGCAGATGAGGTGACTTGTTGCTTTCATGATATGGCACCAAAAAGATGTCCCTGAAATCAAAGAAACAGCTTGAAGAACACAGGTCAGGTGTACGTAGTTTACCTAAATTCACTTCTGAAGAAACCGATGAAGGCAAATAAAAAAACAGATGAAGCATATAGAATTATGCTGCCTTTATGGAAGTCAAGAAAATAACACTAATGATTTGTGACTCAAGGAAGTACGATAAAATGCTGACATTTGACAGTTACTCATAAAACCTGACTTTTTCTAAGCAGAAACCCAGTCTGGTCTCTTTACTAAACTGTCAAAATAATGCACTGTGCACTCTAGAACATAACAAAACACTACCAGTGCCTGTACTACTTAGAAAACTGTTCTGTGCAACCTGCATGGTATAAAGCATTCAAATGATCAATCAAAATTAAGTTCCAGACGATGAAAAAATCCCCACATCGCTTTTAAATATACACTGGTGTGACATAAGATTGCAGAATCTGGTCACATTTTTTATTATACTATATCACCAAGTGCTGATGAGAGGAGACTGTGATTCAAGAGTGCTAATTGCTATTGTGAGGAGACTTGAAAAGGGCATGTAAAATTACCAAGAAAGTCACCCCAAAGTATTCTTTCAGAACCTTTCGTAGTATGAGGACCCAAGGAAGACATGGAAGCTATGAAGGCGTCTGTTTAGCGTTGACAAAAAGACCTGACAGTTGCATTTTCTCCTGTTTTTTTTTCTCCAAGATATGACTTGAAAAGATCCTGGGATCTCTTCTCATGGGTAACCTATGTGTTTTTAAAAAGAAATCTCCCTCCTGAATGCAAGGCAACTTTCGGAAAGTGCGTGTTAAAAGCAGAGAGATACTTCACAGCCTGCGAAACCACACAGGAACTCCACTGAGAAATCTGCCTATGCAATTGTGGTAACTGAAACCCTGGGCTATTGAAAATCCAGCCTCTAGTTTCCCTAAAAAGATGCAGCATTTCCAAGTAATGTTTGTTGTGGGGGACAACATGGCCTTTTCAGAGGTTTAATGACACCACATGTTAAGAGTTATGGGTATCAATAGGATGAAGAGGGATTCTATAACTAGAAACAGGTGGTAATTCTTCAAAACGCATAGCTGTTCCATAATTGCTTGGTAACTACAGTATGTAAAACACACTGAAGACATTTATAAGGCCAGAGTATCAGATTCTGAAAATAAATTAGGCTTATTTTTATTAAAATGTCCTCAGACAAATATTTAGTGGTTCTGGTCACACACCACAAAAATCACGCACAAGACGAATGCATTTTACAAAGAGCAGAAGGTTTCAAATGAAGGTTTGCAAGTGCTTACATTTAAGTGTTCAGAGGACTGGTGCAACGGTGTATTATTGTATAACCACAAGTCTCTAAGAATAAAAACAAAAATGCTGAATTCCACAAATTATTGTGGGGTAGCTGTTAACCAAAATATTGCCTGCAAGGCACAAGATATTTTGGCAAGAAGTTGTGTAAGCTAACCATGTACAGGCAATAGTTAGAGGTCACGGTGTACATTCTAATTATTTTCATCTCGATAAAGAGACTGTTGTGGTCTTGTTTTGGTTACTTGGATTATTGAGTTTTCTAGGTTTAATTTGTAAGAAAAAAAAAGATATTTTGGATATGGGTGACTTTTAACCGCTGAATCGAAGAACCCAGTCTACTCAAAATAGTACAGTTTGCGTAAAAAGGAAAAGATGACAGGAACGATTAGCTGGTTTACAGTATTTTGGGCAGACAAAATGGAAACGAGGGGTTGAAAATGACAAAACAATTTGAGATTGCATCTATATCGGCACTCAACGTGTTTTACAAACGAGGAAAAAACTGAAACCGTCTTGAATCCAAACGGATCTTATTCGTGTTTTTTTCAAAACTCGTGCAACCTCCTTTGAAACGCTCCATATATCATGATGTACGTTATAAGTGAACTATGCTAAAATATAAGGACAGATTATAGAAAAATCCTAATTGTAATCCAACCAAAAGCGAAGGGATTGCCAAAGCACATTCACAACTGTATTCCGCGATTAAAAGTCTAATGTGGGCTCTGTGGATTGTTAATGCCGGAGTCATCTCTGAACGTTTATACAGTGTATATATATATATGTGTGTGTGAAAGTAGTTTCCAGCAAAGACTAGTTCTTATGTAGTCGCGCACGACAATTTTAAGTGAACTGTCTTCGGGGTTTTGAGATTATGCTCGTTCCTAAATCAAGCAATGGACATTCTTTGGTCTGCTTGTTAAGGACTCGAGGAAAGCAGGAAGAAAACCAGCATATTTATGAAATAGAATTTCCAGGGTTGGTAAATCTCTTGGACTTTTTGTTTAGATCCGCCTTGAAGAATAAGAATTAACTGGATATTTTCCTTTCTTAATTTGTTCTTTTTTAGAGAAACAAAGTAAACCCAGTTCAACCCTATAATAACTAAGGGACAAATGAGTTAGTGGTCTCGTAATATTGCGCACATCTTCTACCATCATCATAAATCGTAGACAGTTGCGGATATAAGAACACCACCTTAACACGCATTAAAACTGGTATTCTGTGCGATGTACAGTATAAGATCTTTTTGTATTAAATGTTAATGTCCTGACCATTTTAATTTCGAGAATGCAAAAATACATGCTACTACACCAACCCTTCTCAAAGCAAATCTGAACAATTCTGTGTGTTCAGGCAGAGACTACACAATTTTATAATACGCCGTTTATACGATGGTACTGTTTCTAAAAACCACGCACAGCTTTGAGCGTACAAAAACATCATTTTTTTTACTATTGCTGGTTTAAGAGACATTGCTGTGTTGCGTCTGATTTGTTTTTCGTTTCGTTTCCGTAGTAAATCCATTTGTTCGAATATAGAGGCTGTAGTCTGTTATAATAATCATTTTAATTTTTGGTAGTAGGTTTGCTGTTGCTGCTGCTTTTGTTTAGAGACTCCAAAGCGTCCGGAGTCTCCAGAGTGCACGTTTTTGAACTTGTGGTGTCAAATATATGTGATTTCAAAAAGACTTACCCATATGAATTCCTTCCCTGTGTCCACATTTCTTCTTGCTCATGTTGAAGTCAATGTAGAAAAGGATGATGGGGTGACCAAAACTTTCTCCCGGACTCGGATCCAAAGCTAACACTGCGTCATGCGCAGTCGAACCAGGTAGGAGCTCTGTGGCGAGTCCCGGAACCCGCTTAGCAACTTCTGGACCCGAACCCAAACCATAGCCTGGTTTGGACCCCTGAAACCCTGCTCCCGACTGATTCGAGTACCGGATGCGGTCTGTGTGCACCTCTGACTTGGAAAACCCCGTCCCTGATCGCATGCCCATTGCAGGTCTCCCTGTTTTCGAACTGGGCGAGTCGGGGAGAATCGCCAGCACTTTCTCCCCCGAGTTCGGTTCCGAGGCGTAGACTGCCACACCGGTCTGGGGCAACTGGGCCAGCCGTTTACACTCGGGTTCCGATAAGGAGGAGACCCGCTGGCAGAGGTTCAGTTTCAGATACTGGAATCCAGTTTTTGCCCAGCGTTCCAGTCGGGCAGCCTTGATTTGGGAACTCCGCGATCGCCCAAGGAAAAGCGCAAAAATTAAAACGGATATGCGTATCCACTTCAGATGCATGATTAGCGTGTACAGAAAGTTACCTTTACGGACGGATTGGGTGGTGAAACAGTTCTCAAAAGAAACAAAAAATACTTTAAAATGCCTTTTTGGTGATGAATTTCCACTTGTTCTTTTGTGCGTTCTCGCCAGAGGGAGGGCGCAGCCTGTCTCCGGTTGCAATCAAATTGGAGAGATGCTGCTTTCTTCATTAAAGGCAGACTTCAAAGGGGGTCAGACTAACATCCAGATCGAAACTAATGTGCGACAGTAACTCCATCCCACAGGGACGACTATGCCAGTAATCAGAAGGGGAGGGCGAACAGTATCAGAGGATGGGACAACCTGTCAGGACAACGCACTAAGACTCTGGCGTATAATCTTTTATAACATAGAAGGGAAAGGTGGCGAAATATGATGTTACTAGCTTTGTAGTCATTCCCTCGGTCGTTTCTTGAACTTCGCAGCTGAAGCCGAAAACAAGGTGCCCCATTTGTTGGCCGCAGTCCATCGAAATATTTCGCTTACTTTTCAGTATTGTTTCAGTTTGTTTCCCCACACACAAATTGAATATAACGGAATAACGTCAAGGAACCTCGTAAAATCAAAAGTTACTCGGAACATTTATTTATTCGACTTCAAAAATCTATTTTTGCACAATTCGTGATAGAAAACTGGGAAGGAAAAACGGCGGCAACACGCGACGCCTAAATTCTATACAGTATTTTAGCAAGTTTAAAAAAACAAAAACAAAACGCAGCCTTTAAAATATTAGAATAGTCGTGTACATTATTATTTATAATATCGTCGCCATTGCCGTGGATGTAGTTAAGTTTTAGAACTACTTTGTGGAAGACTATATTTGCCACAGAACAAGTACTGTGCAGCTTTTCATTTGAAAGCGCCATTATTTTTTACTGCCGATTAACATTGAATTTAAACCGACAGTGAAAGACCAGCTCTGCATGAAACTCACATATGTTGACAGGTTGGCTGTAGCTGTATTACGGTTAATAGGATTCAGAGAGACAACAGTTATTGAAGTTGATTATATACGTATAAAAGCATTATATACAATCTAAAAAATAATCCGTAGAAATTGATAGTTCATGTGACCAGTTGAAGACGTGAAACCGAGTTAAATTGCATATTGTTACGTATGTCTTGTTTGGAAGAACTGCAATAAATTCTAAGCAATATCTGCAATGAAGGGATGTCAATTTTGTTTTCCGAATTTGATATCCCTGCATCCTCATGTTGAGGTCTGGGTGTCTCGGTTCCCCTATTGGCGTATTTTACAAGAAGAGCTGAGAAGTGATGGTGTAAATCTTATCTTAGCTATGTACACAACAATCAAGACTAACGTTGCTGCAAGGACAGACAGCTGTTGTGGGTTCGCTCGTTGTAAGGAAATTTAAACAGCCTTCAACGAATGAATGGACACGTCCCAGGAAGTTAGATCTCGGATCACACATTTATTTGCTTTTCGGTCAAGATAACATGCGAATTGCGAGACGCGGACGAGTTAGGCCATCTAGAGTAATTTCAACACAACTACAAGCACGATTTAAGGCAGCGTCTCAGACATTTAAGACACTCGGGATCGTCAGCGATAAATTGAACGAAACTACAGAAAACGCGTTTTATAAATTATAAGTGTCCTTCTTTATACTATAGACTGGGTGATGCACATAGAAAAGGCTACAGTAGGTTTCAGCATATTAGTACATTTACAGGAAGGATAAATAATGCTTATACTTTATGAATTGTGTCCTTCAGGGATGAATATCCCAGGAGTTTATCTTTCAACCGTTGATCAACTGGAATTTAGATTTTGTCATCATACACTTTAGCTAATCATCATACAATTACCTTTACCACGTTCCGTTAATTCGAGTAATAAATAGTAATATAAAATTGGCCTTCCCGTAGTTTAACCAGTATGAATTATCTTGTCAGTTATCTCGTCCATTACCTGTTTCATATTTAAATAATAAATGCAAAACTCGATGATTATATCGTATAGAATGGATCCTTAAATACAAATGGACACCATTTAAAAATTATAGAATTTCTTACTTTGTAAAAGTTTACGCTAGAAGTCATAACTGATATGCAATAGTATGTTTGGTAAAATGCATAAAAATAAGTTCAATCTAAGCAGCACGTCATGTAGCGTAATAAATGTCAAAATCTCATTGTAAAATTACTGTAAAAAGAATAATATACAATGTTCCTTTTCGATGTTGTTGGTGCAGAAAATATATATATATTATCTATAACCGTTCTCTGGACAGCTACCTTCAAACAAAAGGCGTTGTCAAATCGTCATTTCGAATAGTGTGTGTGGAGTAACACAAAGTTAGTGCATCTCTTGTATTCTCATAATTCAATACAATACTCATAATAGTATGGAAAGAAAAACTAATGGTTTCATATTTTTCAAGTCCATAATAAACATGTAACCCCTAAGGACAGGACACTCAGAGGTGTCCTCCAGTCTTGGACTGTCTGCCCGCGATAAAATATTGTCTTGGCCCTTGTTGTTTGGTTAGGTTTTGCTAGATGTTTTGATGGGTTTTTTTCTCCCTTGCGCCGTCCTTTGGTTTTGCAGAAGCCATCTTATCTCAGAGCCTTCGCTCAGTTCATCCACAAAGGCGTTGACTGAGTCATCCCAACCGGTCTCTTCTGGACCCAGCAGCGACACACGAACGAGAGCACAGGTGGTACTTCTTTACCCGAAGGATTGATTCCGGCATGTGTGTGGCACAGGCAGCCTTATTGTTAAAGCTGATACCCAAGTTTCGTTCAAGAAAAACTGCTGGATGAGATCATTTGGATCAATCAGCTGCCAACTACCAAATGGGCCTAATGACCTGCATGTCCTCAACTCATCTGTGGTTCTTAAGAAATGAAATTAGACATGTTCGGTGTTGGCAGGCATTATTCTGAAAAGCCTTTAAAATGCCAAACTCCCTAAAGAATGAAAACAATCACGCTCACTGTATTTTAACTTAACACGACTCGTGTCTGTCTTGTAACATATGATTGAGAACTCGACTGACCTGTTACCTCCCCATTAGCAGGTTATTAACGTTTCTTGGTCATTAAGATTTATGGCAAAACAAACTTTGAAAACAACGAAAAAAGATGACATTCTTGAGATTTACCACGTAGAAGAATTGGTTTATAACGTGAGTCGAGCTATTCAAACGACGTCGTAATGAAGCACGTACTGAGAAGCAATAGCATAACTCACAACTAGCAACCCACTGAGTCTCAGCAGGTGTGAGCCTGGTCAGTACCTGGATGGGAGACCTCCTGGGAAAGCTAAGGCTGCTGCTGGAAGAGGTGTTAGTGGGGCCAGCAGGGGGCGCTCACCCTGTGCTCCATGTGGGTCCTAATGCCCCAGTATAGTGATGGGGGACACTACACTGTAAACAGGCGCTGTCCTTCGGATGAGACGTAAAACCGAGGTCCTGACTCTCTGTGGTCATTAAAAATCCCAGGGTGTTTCTCGAAAAGAGTAGGTGTGTAACCCCGGCGTCCTGGCCAAATTTTCCATTGGCCCTTACCAATCATGGCCTCCTAATAATCCCCATCTATGAATTGGCTTCATCACTCTGCTCTCCTCCCCACTGATAGCTGATGTGTGGTGAGCGTTCTGGCGCACTATGGCTGCCGTCGCTTCATCCAGGTGGGGCTGCACAATGGTGGTGGTGGAGGGGAGTCCCCATTACCTGTGGAGCGCTTTGAGTGGAGTGTCCAGAAAAGCGCTATATAAGTGTAAGCAATTATTAATTATTATAACAAAAGCTAACAGACGGCGGTGAAAAATAACACTGAATGTCATCGGGCTTTAACATTACGGTTGTCCACCAGAGTGCGTCCGGCGCTTTCTTATACGAATTGAAACTATAAAGGCACCACTGACACCTTTTGTGTCTTGTCTTTATCCGTGCGATCGGCATATTTTTTTTTAAAGGTGCTAAATAGCAATATCCCTTCAACAGCCGTTTTCACCGTACTGCTGTTTTTAAGGATAACTCGCTGCTGTTTTTGCGAGACCCCTGCGCATTACACAACTTTGCAGTAACACGGTGTGGTCGTAAGGGGACGCTGTCTTTATAGACTGGAATCAGGAAGCCGGGGGTCTTCCTAGAGCAGGGCAGCGCGGTGTGAGCGTCGCAGTTTGTCGGGGGGTTTTCATGTTGTCTCCTTGAAAACAAAAAATGGATTTTGAAGATTTGTTTGATGAGAGGACGTTTTCTTTTTCTGACTTCCAGGAGTTCACGGTATGATCGTTTATCTCTTTCTTATTGCTGTAAAACCTGCTGTCATGTCTTTCGAAGAGTCCTGCCCTTGACTGACTTATCTAGTCACCTGTCCTGTACTTCCTTAAATGTCTGCGACTTCTGCTCTGTTCCGAATGAAGTGTTTGCATTTATAGTAATTAAGTACACGTTTTAAGAAATGTGTTTTATCTATTGATTTGCCGCAGCTACCTGGTAACAGTGTCATCACATGCACATACTGTAACTAAGCAAATAAGTTATATGGTATGTCGTTAGTCCGGGAAAAAGTGACAAAAAAGTTTTCAGTTAAGCGCACACGTTCACTTTTTTTCACTTAGATCTGACTGCTTATCATCCCGTGCTCACAAAAATGACGGTTCTCGATAAACGGTTGGGGTGCCATTCGCAAATACCAGAGTTCGCGGTTTGTTTTCATGAGGCGCACGGCAGCTCGGAGCACTGGATCACGGCTGCGCGTACCACTCGACCCCGCGGCTTTATCCTGGCCTGTTTGAAGGCCTCAGCGACGGGCGCGGATTAAATGATTTGTCCGTCACTCCCTTCTTTTGTGCATCATTCGGGGTGCTGTCATCACACGCGTAGCGTTGTCAGCTCTGTTCCTTGCGTCTTAAGTCTTAAGTCTTAACCGTACTTTTGTTCCTAAAGTATCTTACTATAAATCCTATAGTGAACTCGGTTCTTGCGTGTATTATACTTTTTTATTAAATGCTTTATGAGCTAGCTTTTGTTAAAGCAAAACTTACTTAAAACTTACTAAAAATTCCATTTCGAGATCATAATAACTTAGCTTATTCTTGTTTATTTACAAGGAAGCATTTCATTTAAAAGAAGTGGAGTTCTCCCTTGTTTTTTTTTTTCATTCTTAGCACAGCTGAATGTGATCGCCATTTCATTACTCATTTGCGCAAAAGGGTTTCCATTAAAATAGTTCAATTTCACACAAATCTATTTTTTTTTCTAGTTCCTTCCTAGCCATCAGAAGCTCTCTGAACGGGTTCGGAAGAGGTTGTACTATGGACTGGATAAAGACTGTGCTTTTGATGCCCTTTCATGTCCTGTTACTGGTAGGTTGGCTGATTTAAAAGAAAAAATGTTTGATTAATAATCTGCAGGAATTGTCTTAGCTTTGTATTCCTTTTTACAGACCTGTGACAGACTGATTGTGTTGTCAGTAAATTCAGATTAGAATTTCAGTAGGTAATCCTTCTAGATCTGGAACTTGAGCTAGTCAATTCTGATTCTAAAAGGTACCATGGGTATTTGTGCAGTGAAAAAAACTTTAAACATAAATTTGATTTGCAAATGGTTCCATTATTAGACAATATACAGTATGTATCCAGGAACGTTGCATAAAAGCATTCATTGCATTTATACTTTTCCAGAGCTCTTAATAAGGATTGCAAGATTAATCTCCACTGCATTCATTGGTTTTAATAAACTTGATCAATCTGGGGCAGACAGGAACACTTGTATGATGCTGCTCATTTTATTAGTTAACATTTTGGTTTTGCCCAATGAAGAGTGAGGCATAAGCCTTTTACAACCTAAAACGCAGATCTTCACAAATCTGTTTTGTTTTTTTTCTTTTTCGATTTTCTTCATTTAGATATCGCCGTTGAACTGCTTCAGAAATCTGCTCCGAGTCCGATCCGCAAACTTCAGAAGAAATACGCAGCACATGTGGCACGGTTAGTTTTTCCCTAAATTTTTTTGCACCAGCAGTATTGTGTGCACCAGACCCAGGAGGGGAAAAGAAGGTTGCAGATAAACTGAAAGTTCCTTGAAAGTTGATTGTAAAATAGTGATTTGTTATTTTTGCAATAATCTTGGAATGTCTCTCATGATGACCATAGGACTGGGTGTACATTTTTTGTGCTTAGTGCACTCGATGTTCATTTAGACACGGCAAACAATCATTTTTATGGGTGAGAAGACGGAAATGTGAAGGAAGCTTATCATTTTGCCTCAGCAGCTATAAGCAATAATGTAAAACATTTTTAGATTTAAAGTCATGAAGGTAAAGAGGTAGGATTCCAGTTGCATGACAGCTTCATTCATTCAAGATGTTATCTTTGTATGATTTGTGCTACGAAAGCAGAGAGGTATTAACATTATTTTAACTTGTTTTCTCTGTGTCGGTTTCTTAAAGCCAGGTTGCAACGTCCAACATTTGCCATAGTGCGTAAAGTGCTTTAGAAACAGAAATAGATCAAACTGCATTGCAGACTAGTTGGATTCTGATTTGTGGTCTTGCCCTCTGTCCTCTCCCGTTTCATTTTTTTAAATAAAGCTTTACGTGCTCAGTGGAGGTAGGACTACATACTGTAAGGCTGGGCTGTTCAAGCTTCAGGTTGTAGGGTATGTGTGGTAAATGCTCTCTGCAGTAATGTAAAGCATCTGAAAATAGATGCCCCTCCAGTTACAGTGCAGATCATATCACTGAACAGCTTGCTTTCCAGTTTACCACATTAATTCTTGCAAAGCATGCTTGCAATCTAGCTCCATTTTCACAGAGGCAGTGTTTACTGATGTCGGCACTACTTGCTTACATAACATTGGGGCTCATTAAACCTTAAACTGACCAGAAATTATAGTAGATAGATTTGAAGAAATGATATTTAATTTGGTATGTTTATTTATCGCGAAAAATATTTCACCAACTTATTCCTGCTTATTACAGTCAAGCTAATATGTACAAGGGGTGGCTGATAGCTTTAGTTGATGTTTGTTGAATTTTATGTCAATGTTTCTTGCTTGTTTAGGGAAGCTTGTATTTCTCCTTGCGCAATGATGCTAGCTCTGGTTTACATTGAAAGACTGAGACACAGAAACCCTGACTACCTGCAACAGATCTCCTCCTCTGACCTCTTCCTGATCTCCATGGTACGTAAACGACTGTTAAGAGACTGGCATGGGCGAAGTGTTTACAAGTGTACTTTTTATATTTGAGGCATATAATCACATATCAAATATCACGTGATTAGAATCACATCTAATCAAAAAATTTGTGAAGGTGTAAATTAAATGCATATCATTATGTTTACAGAATTAAATATTTGTATCTCTGCTCAAATTGGATTGTCGGTGACTGCTCAGTAGTGCTCATTTGTACTGTAAACGCAAGCTCTTTCCAGGTATGGATGACCATGGGCCAGCAGGGAAACCCAAGTTTATTTTAACCAGACAGTTTATTTTCGCATATTGAAAACCTGTGCATCCTTAGGAGTTATGCGTGTGTTCTTTCTAATATAAATTGGGCTCAGCTGTTTTATGTTAGCATTTACTTTTCAGACAGAGACCATCAACTGTAAGACAGTCAAACCAGTACTGGCAAGTTAGTATCAAAGAACATCATCTCGTGTATCGTGCTGGTGCTTTTGATTTTTGATTTAGTTTTTCTTTCTGCATTTTTAGAGGAAAACAGCTAAATTAACGGGTTACCCGTTGAATTGAAATTGATCAGTTGTGTTTGTTTGTCTGCTTTCAGATGGTTGCCAGTAAGTACCTGTATGATGAAGGAGAGGAGGAGGAGGTTTTCAATGACGAATGGGGAGCTGCAGGGAAACTGGATGTCCAAACAGTGAACAAGCTGGAAATGAACTTCCTCAAGGCCATTGTAAGCACATTTCATTGTCCTTCAGCCTGCATTTTAAAGTGAAAACGACCTTTACCATGATTGACACAACAGGCAGATGTTTTGGGGATTTTATTGATATGCGGTAGGATTCTGAAGAATATATGTTTACAGATGTATAATCTTTTTGTTGCTGCAGTGGTTAGCATTGCTGCTTTGCGTCCCTGGGACCCTGGGTTCAGTCCCTGGCCTGGGGTGTTATCTGTGTGGAGTTTGTATGTTCTCCCCAGGTTGGTTTGAGTTTCCCTTCCACAGTCCAAAGACATAGTGGTGGGTTACTTGGCCTTGGTGTGAGTGTGTCTGCCCTGTGATCTTCCTATTATTAACATGTAAAATTGTCTCTCATCTTAATTCCCATACCTGCTTACTGTATAGATTTGATGCCCGAGTGCTATAATTTTACACATTCCTGTAGTATTGTTTTGATATTTAAAACAATGTTTTTCTCATTTGCCGTCTAGAAAGTCATATAATTTTATGCGACGTTCAAGGTCAGTACGTTGGTGGAATGTTACACCGTTGTGCACTTCTGTTGTTCAATATGAGGAAGATATCATCTCTTTCAATTTGGAAGATCACAGGATACTGTACTAATTGAATGCTCAGAACCTCCATGTCGAAAATATGCACATATTTATCAGCAGAACATCATTTAACGATGACAGTTATCCATTGTAACCAAATAAATGTGAAAATATAGCAGCATATTCCAGTGTAAATCCTGGACTTTCTAATGTGTTAATCTCTGCATGAGTGATCAAAGACCAATAAATATAGAGATATAGATATATAACCTATTATAAAAATCAAATAAACTAAGAGGTGGGCCTGCCTGAATTAACTTTGTGACTTGGAATGAAAAGAGATGAGTTTGATGTAGTGGGTAGAGAATGTGTGTTGCAGCTGATAGCTAAGAATCTTCAAAAGAAAGATCTGTTTCCAAGATAATAACATCTTGCAGTTGTCAGAGACAAAAATATCTTAGTCAGGTGGGCTACAGCAGCAGCTTCACACGCGGATGTGACTCAGTATGTGAATCGGTACACCTGGTTAGTTGCTTCCTACAAGAATTCCGACATGATTAATCGTCAAATAACTTGAGTTCTCGGCTCTAAGCACCAAGGCATGACATTAAAGAAAATGTCAAAATGTTTGATGGCAGGGAACAGAGAGGACAAGCAAACTCTGTATACGTTTCAGGTGGAGCCCTTCTGTCGTTGATGGCTCTCTGCAGTCCTTTTTCAGATAAGATAAGATCACTTTATTGGCCATATACAATTTCTGTTTTTTCCCATACCTGTCTGTGTGTCTCATGGAGAGCAAGCTGGGGGTCAGGGCGCAGGGTCAGCCATTTATACGGTGGGGTTAAGGGCCTTGCTCAGGGGCCCAAAGGAGTAGGATTCCTCTTCCAGCCGCGGGATTTGAACCGTCAACCTTCCAGCCACAGGCGCAGATCCTGAGCCACAGAGCCACCGCACGGCCCATGATTAACTTCTAACTGAACTGATCTCTTTTTGCTACGGTGTTTAGAATTGGCTGGGTGAAGAAATAAAGTTTGATCTCGCCAAGCTGTCTGATTCCACCTCCTGGCAAATCAGACAGTTTATTTTTGCATATTGAAAACCTGTGCATCTTTAAGAGTTATGCACCTATTCTTTCTGTTTAATCTGAATTGTTGTCAGCCATTTTAAGTTAGCACTTACTTTTCAGACAGAGACCACCAACAGTAAGACAGTCAAACCAGTAGTGGCAAGTTAGTATCAAAGAACATCATCTCGCGTATCATGCTGGTGCTTTGAATTTTTGATTTTCATAAAGGAACAATCCACAAGGGTAGTTTGGAAGCTGTACCCACTCTCTCCCAATAAGCTTGAAGTTTTTACATAGATTCTTTTAATTTGTTTTATATTTTAATCATTCATTTGCTGACAGATGTTTCATCATAAATAAATCTGCTGCTATTTTCCCAGGAAAACTGTGCTGCTTACTAATTGGTGTGACTTCTGTTTGCAGGACTGGAGCCTTTATGCTGAACCAAGCGAATTCTTTGATATTTTAAGCCAGCTAGAAACGAGGTAGGCATGTTCAAATTGTGTGTTCTCTGTTGCATCGATTCTGACCCGTGTGATCTTATTAACTGTCCTGTAACAGGCCAGAATTCACAATAATTCGCCGTAAAATTTGAATAATCTGTACCCTGATCTCATATGACAATCCCAAAATCAATGATTAACATGTAGTATATAAGTATGTAAGTCAGTTTTTGGATGACCTATTTCTCAGCAGCCAGTTAATGGAAGATAATAGTTTGGGCACAGAAGTTACGTATTTCCTGGCTAGAAATGGAGACCCATATTAACCTGTGTGAAATGCAGATGAATGTACTAATAATGATGGATGATATGTTCTGCACTGCTGTGTTTTGTGCTTGGCATTTTGCTGTAGTTTGATATGTACTTCATGCCAATGTTATTCCCTTTTTAAATATTTTTGGCCCTGTATCATGTATTCAAGGGCCAGCATGCAACATGCTGTACTGCCCACCCATTGTATCTTGTTGCCTTCTGATGTGTGCATTTTCGTTAAAATTTAGATGATCCTGTATTTCAAATGTTACCCGTGACCTACTATCATTCTGACTAATGCATTAAGTAGCTGCATTAGTAGTGCTAATAGATAATATCTAATAAATAGGCTTGTCTCTTGATTGAAACAGTTCCTGTATGTTAATATCAGCTAGTGTACACATTCCATCCCGTACAACTACATTTTGCCAAACTGTAACCGCAAGTTCTATTTAGTAGCTGTTTTCAAGCCATGGGAAACACCTCTGTATTTGTAAGCAACCACTAGAATCAGATCATTAATATACTTAAGGCAACAGGAGGTTTTTGCTTTTTTGCTTTTTTGCTTTTTTGCTTTTTTGCTTTTTTGCTTTTTTGCTTTTTTGCTTTTTGCATGGCATCTTTTCTTTATTTAAAAAAAAAACTGAAAACTGGGGGGGGGACCCAGAGTATATTTAGTAATTAGATTAAGTAATGTGATGCATTGAAGCCTGTTCTATTCATCAGTGTGTGGTGTGACACTACAAATAAGATGTATGCGCAGTGTGGTAGTGTTTTCACTTAAATAGAAATCCACAAGGCTGCAAGAGTCAACGGGGTTATATAATTTCATTGTGACCAGCATAAGGAATTTCAAAGGGAAAATCGGCTTTCAAAGGAACAAGCTCATAGATACCAGATATCTTTCAGGAAGTGAAGCCTGGCAAGTACAGGCTTGCCCTGTGTTTAACTAAATAACAGGGGAATTTGCATTGGATTATCTTGTATGTAAAAACTACAGTGCAAACAGGACTACCCCCAGCCCAAACCGGTCAGGTATTTTGTAACCTTATTACAGTTGTACCTGAGGTTTGAATAGAAACCAGGTAAGCAGGGCTGTAATACTAACACCACTGTCAAACATGTTTCAGTTTTTTTTTTTCTGGTGCAAGATAACAAAAAAGTAACTTACAGGTATTGTATCCAGTACCAACACAGTTACCAAAAGAGAAGTACTAAAATTAGAGGGATCATCAGATCCATGAGCTCTTATATTGGTATTTTTAAGTTACAACTCTTGCTGGCTTGCCTGCAGGCCTATACCGTTGGAAAGGTTCTGCAAAATCAATGTGAATTATTCCTGTTTCCATATGTCGCCTTGGTGCGCCTTTTTATCACGTATTTGCTAGGCGTGCCCCCTGTTATTGGAGTGGTTTGCAAAGGGTTCCCGGATTTTGTGCGTCTCTACATATTGTGTTAAGTATGGGCTATTATCTCAGGTACCGCGGTCTGTAAAATGCTGACCTTTTTGTCGCCCCCCCCCCAGCATCGCCCAGAAGCAGGGATTGAAGAGAGGCTGGTTTACATACACCGACCTTTGTGTCCTGCTGGAGCAGGCCGTGTGGCAGAAAGCTTTCGTCAACATCTATCTCCACTTCACCAAAGTAAGGAGCCGTTCATGTCACCGGTTCTGCTAAGATAATAATAATAATAATAATAATGTTTCTTTATTAGCCCTGTACAATTTCTTGCATTAGGAATTCGTCTTTTCGCATAACCCAGCTTTTCTCCATGGAGACACAGACACAGACAGGGAGAGAAGCTTGGGGTCAGAGCGCAGGGTCTGCCATTGTACGGCGCCCCTGGAGCAGTTAGGGTTAAGGGCTCTCTTACGAGATTATTCTGATACAAATGAATGTATATTAGCTTATTTAGTACTTCCCACTCGTATTGGTTTTTGGCTTTTAGTTTTTAGTGGTGTTATGCAGATTCTAGTGCAATGATAGCTTCCTGGGAGTGGCCTGTTGTCTTCTTTTTCATATCCCGAGGTAGTTACATAGATGAAATCCTAATCTCGTGCACTTTTAGGCCACAATACCTTGATGTGGACCCCTCGTTTTATTGGGTCCTGTCCGCAGGAGGTGAGGGGTTTTTTTCTCTCCGGGTTTGGAATTCATTGGGAATGACTGGAAACTCAGCCTTGTGGATCTGTGTGGTCTCCCGCAGCTGGCCTGTATGCTGGGGCTGGTGTACCTCGCCAGCGTGGCCGGGCTGATCGCGTCCTCCGCGGTGCTGCAGCAGCTGACCGGCTCCCACACCCTCCCCGTGCCGGATGGAGGCGCCTTCGGCCCCCGGGGGGAGCGGCCCGGCCTGGAGCAGCCTCAGCCCCCTGCCTTCGCCCTTCGCTGCTGCTGCTGCGTCTTGGGGAACGACGGTCAGGATGGGCACCAGGCCGTGACCACCACCACCACCGCCACCGCCACCACCGCGCTCTGCTTCTGGGGCTCGTTTCTCGCCTCTCTCTCCTACTCCTCCGACCCCCAGCCCGTCCCTGACAATACCACTCCTGGACTTCACTGCTCGGGTTGCCTGGGCGTCCCCAGTGGTTCCAGGTTAATGCTTCAGTGTGGAACGCCCAATACCACTGGATCAAGCTTCTCTCCTCCTCACAGCCTGCTGGGACGGACCTCACAGACGGCCTTTTCTGTGAGCGACGGGGGTCTTTTTAGGAGGGTGCTTGACCCTCTGTTCAGCCTTTCCCTCAGTATCCCTCGATGTTTCCCAGAGACTGTGATACCGTTAGGAAAGGCCCAAACCTTCCTTCTCCCCAGTTAGAAATGGCTGTTTTATCCCACTCTCTTAGGGGGGTGGGGGTGGGGGGAACAAAATTGTAAAATTGTAATTTTCTTGTCTTCACGTTTTTGTGGTTTGATAAAAAAACGCGGTTTGCAAACCTAACTTTTCAAAGGTGACTGTAAATAAATTTCCTATTTTACGAGAGACAGGATGTGTGAAGATACGATCAGGGGGGCCATGAGAGACTTAGTCTCGGCTGAAGGGCCTTTGAAGGCTTGTCAACAGTCCACTTTCAATAACAGAGATTTCTAAGTGCAAATAGATGTATTTAAAATTGTTCATCTTCGGATTCTCCACATCTAAGTGGTCACGTTCTGCACAGAAATGCCTAATTTAAACAATTCTGCATTTGTCACGGTGTGTTTGGATCACATCGCACCTTTTAACTTGACGTTTCTGGTGGATTTCTGACGACTTGAGGCTTTTTACATTTTTTTCTCACAATCACCCGGGAAAGTAAAGAATTGTTTTTACAAAACGTTTAAAACGGCCTTGAAGATGTGACTGGGGGCGGGGTGCCTCTAATCTTTACAAAAAAGAAACATTTCCTAGGTCAGTTGTAACTGAAAATGGTATTAAGATGTGGTCGAAATAAATCAAAAGTAAATGCCAATATGACCTGTCCTACTGTTTGTAAGGAATTTGGTACATATTAATCCATGAAGGTATTTACCCCATTATTCTAAAATATTCCATTCTAAACCTATTTTTTTGTAGGTTTGTAGATGTTCTGGGGCTTATTGTATTATTTTTTGTATACCTGAACTTGGACTTTTATTCTGAAAATATATCATTTTGATTTACCATCCTCTTAAATATAGCAGAAGGTTTGGGTATGTGGCAGAGTAGTTCTCTTATCCTTAAATGGAGTGAGAGACCCGATGACGTTTTGTTTTTTTCTTAAGGGTCTAGGGAAAGGTTTAGATGCTGAGTGTGTGTCTAGTTTGCTAGAGTCTTGGGAACGTTTTCTGAAGTTTTGAAGGTCTTTTCTTGTTTGAGCCAGAATTTATGCTCCTATTTAATTAGGAACTGGTAAATAAAGAGCATGAGTTCAGAAGTACAGTAATACAGTAATAAGTACAGTGGTTTCTTTGAGTATCATAATGTGCAGCTTTTGGCTACTATTAAAACAGTTTGGATTTGGGGGTATTATCCACGTCTGCACCAGGATACACTATGTCAGACTAAAGGCTTTACATCTCTAGGTTCTCTGTGGCGGTTTCTGATTTGAAACCAGCAAATCGTACTTTGAAGTAAATATATAGTGCAGGAAGAAGAGGAACACTGTATCCATGCAGAGTGCTGGTTCTGTTCCTTGTTTTGTGATGTAGAGTCTTAAGTAAATTATTTGAAAAGTTTCTAAGTGTGAGAAGGTCTGGCTTTCATTTACAAAGTGAAGCGCTTTAATGCTTAATTAAGAGTTTACAGAAGAGGCTGGAATCCGTTTAGGATGTGGTTACGCTGCGCATGAGTGCAACATTCGAAACGTTCATTCTCACAACAAAGAATTGATGTTACCAGCTTCACTTGCTACTACTGTATGCCCTTCTTCTGTGCTCTCTGAATACTGTCATGGTTATTCAAAGGAAAAAGGATTTTGTTTGGTTGACAACGTTCTGTAACTGTCTGTTCTGTGCAGCATCAGTATTTTTAATACTGTATTGTTCCCATAGTCCAGCCAAGAAGCACAAGTCAGTACTACCCCTGTGTGCAACACTGTCTTAGGCTACACTTAATCTTCTTTGAATTATCGCTTGCATCTTTTTGGAGTTAAAAAACAGGGGCAAAAAAAGGCATCTGAACAGGAAATAACAGACTGCGTGAAAACTTTTTTGTGTGTGTGATTCTATTTTCAGCGGTATGACTCCAATTAACATTTTCTATAGGACATTTCCTTTACATTGTTTTAACAGCTGTCTTTAAATGTATAAAATTGCTAATTTAACAGTGAAACAGGCTTAGGTTTATTGTAAATGCGAAGCTGCATACTCAGAAGGTGTAAACTGAAATACTTTAACTTTTGAACACCTGTCACTGATTTAGTAATTTTACACAAAGTAATACAAACTAAGTCTTAATTGGTGGATTTTCCATACATATTCCATGAAGTGTGCAGCATATTAATTTTGTTTTTGCACTGAATGAGTAAATAAGGGAACTGAGCTTTGAGGATGGAGCCTTTCAGTCCTAAGGAATTCAGTTCCCATTGCATGAAGTTAAAGACTTAGAACATAGGATATAATCCTGTCTATTTCTAGGTGATAGTTCTTTTGAGGACAGTGAATTCAAGTACACATACCGTTTTCTCATTTCAGATTTTTCTTCCTGAATAACTGCTGAATTCAGAGAGCATCTAAAAGCGTTACCAAATTTTTAACCCTTACAAACATAGCAAGTGGAAAATGAAAAGATCTGGCAAGTGACTCATTTTTTATGTTTTGTGGCCTGTGTTATTTTAAAGTCATTTGTGGTATTAAGTTTACTTTTCTCCCATAGTCAGTGACTATATGACTTTGTTTAGGTGGTGTGTTACAATGGAATTAGCGTGTTATCATTTAGAGATCAGCAGTATTTTATTTACACACAGCTTTCTTATGCAGAAATTATTAACAGAATTGGATGGTGACGTAAAAGCTGTTGAATCCAGTGCAATGCTTTTATTTTTCAAAATGCAGCAGCAGTTAGTATTTTATTTTGGGAAGTATTTTCCTTTTTGTTTAAAACATGGGACAATTCTGTCTATAACATTTAATTTACATCAGACTTCATTTATTTGAATTGATATTTACATTTTTTTAGAACATCAGAATTCTGACTTGGCTCAGGCCAGGACTGAGGTGCATTAATAAACTTTACAATGCATGGAAACATAGAAGAGTTGAAACATAGAAGAGAACATGTTGGAAAGTTGAATATGGGTTGCACTGCACTTTTTTTTTTTCTATAGAATTATTTTTATGAGCATTTCCTGTCACACCTTGGTAAGTGATATTGAATTATTTTCTGGTTGCAGTCTGAGATGCAGGATTACCAAAGTGGAGCCTGATTAGTTCTGTGCTGATAAAACCATCTGCTAACCAGAACAAAAATGTTGAAGGAACTTCCTGCACAACTCTTCCTCTCACTGCTTGTCTTGTTCTGAAAAGCACTGAACGAAGATGGAAATATTCCTACCCATAGTCAATACCATCTGCGTGTGGCTTTCCGCTGTCAGTGCAATGCAATTTTGTATGTTTGGCCATGACATCTGTATACATTTACATTTTTGTGATGGGCAAAAATAGGCTTTTAAACCATTGCTGGGAGACTTTAAAGGAGCTCCAAGGTTGTTATTTTTTTTTTACTACTTAAACTTATGGAGAACATAAAATGTATAAAATTCTGTATAATGCTTCACTGTTAAAATAAATTTGATTAAATTAATTTTGAGACTTTTAATTTGGTTCTTTTTGTTACAAGATAAAGTGTGGATAATACTAACGGGCATACAGCAGAAAAAGATATCTCTTCTGAATTTCATCTATGAACAAACGTAAACTTGACCTGGGATTTGTTTTTACACTTTTCACAATATTATGTGCAGAGACCAGCAGAACAAGTCAGCTATCACATTTTTTCAAAGTTGATGAAAATTCTGTGATGGAGTAAGATACAATTTATATATATATACATGGATCTTAATTGTACAAGTATCTGTATTGGCAGCATTTTTTTTAGGAAGTATGGAGGGACACTGGGATTGAAAAGCCTACAGCAATGAATTGATAGTGATGGTGTTCCTCCTAACCAAAGCTGATGAGGAAGTAGCCTCCTTTTTACAGTTCTTCTATCCATCCTTAGACCCTGGACAGGATGCCAGCCCGTAGCAGGGCACATACTGTACTAACACGCGCTGAATTTTAAGGTGCCTGTTAACCTAACCAGCATGTCTTTGGAAGACCCAGGGAGAACATACAAACTCCACAGAGGAGGTACCCCTTCCTGAATTGGACACTTTGGAAATCTCTCCCAGCTCGTATATGGAGACATTCTCACATTAGCAGGATTATGGTTATTCTACCCTTAACGTGCATTTTAGCATAGCCAATTCCCTGCCTTCTCCACTGGTGAAAGAAAAATCATCTTTTTTCCGAGTATCAATGAAAACTAGGCAGTGCAGTGTATTTTTGCAGGTTCATGTCTTTACTCACTGTTTACAAAACACTCCACTGTAGTGTATATACAACAGAATATGATTTGTTTCTATGATTAAATCTGGATCTGAGTGGAAAAAATACAGATATACAGCAGTATTGCTAATGCAAGAACCTAATCGACCTTATTGTCAATCTTATTAAGATTTTTATTTGTACATTTTAATTGAGAACTCACTCATTAAAACTGTTGTTGCAGTCCAAGTTGCAAACCATTAGTGGTGTTTTGCAGCTACAGTGTCTAGCTTCATTTAGAAAGGAAAGGGAAAGTGTGTACTATTCGTGACGGGAAGTTAATAAAGAAAGATCCTGCTACATTCATCTTCCCAAGCTCATTTAACTGTGTTTTTGCAACATATTTGCATTCCAGAATTGGGATAATTGCTTAAATGCAATGTGAGATTTAGTGTGAAGGCAAGACAGCATCAGATTACGTACTGTATATTTCAGTTGCAAGTGTGAAACTGATCGAAGGTGACTGGGGCAGGCCTCTCTCTCCAAAAGCAAGGGAAGTGTCTTGCATGATAATGATAATAGAAATAATTTAAGCAAGCCAAGGTCTTAAGACGCATTAGCATATATAACCGAACTTCCTGGAACATTGACTACTGTTTCAGTTTATAAATAATATTTCATAAACTTAATTTCAACTGGACAACTGACAAGAATAGCGGAACAGTCAATAAGTAAAAACGTCATAACTAGTGAAGAACTTAGTTACATTGCTTTGCATTTTCTTCATTTCTTCTTTCAAGAATGTTCAGTGGTGCCCATATCATTAAACTGTTATCCAATTTAGTACGCTGGAGAAAAGAAATCGATTAAACTGTTTACTGGTAGACCGACGGTCACAAAACTCTAAGAGAGTAAAAAAGAAATGGTCTAAAACTCAAGTTCGAGGCGGGTCTTTCAAAGGCCGGTCAGTGACGTCAGCGGAAGCGGCTGCCGGGCTGTGTAAGGAGGAGCTGCGCGGTTGCTAGGAAGCGGCGGGCGCAGGATCGCGGAGTCCTTTGTGGGACCTCAGCTTGGAGGCGCTTACTTACCTGGGGCCAGGTGAGGCTGAAAACCGCATCTCACAGCCGACGTTGGAGACGGCTTTAACCGCTTATCCGTTACCCGTTGAAAAGGTGGAATGGCCGAGCAGCTTCCAAAGCGTCAGGCGGCAGGGCATGGTCTTCCATATTCGCAGGCCCGAGAAACAGCGTGGTAACCGGCTGGCTCGCCGCATACATTTCAGATTACAAAAAAAAAAATCACGGCCCAGCTTCCTATTTTCGTGTCGGGCTGCCGTGGGAAATTCCGCCCGATTTTCCGACCTTTAAACAATCTGAAACGTGTTGAGGTGGCAGACGGTTTGAAAGGGTGCTAATGCAGCTGAATGGAGGATCCAGCCACATTGCACTCGCGCAACGTTAAGACGCGGCATTTTTTTTAAAACTGTGTTTCTTCATGTGGGTATTTCCGTATAATCACAATCGTAATAGGTTTATCTCTTACACGAAACCTTTGTGTTTTTATGAAATTGCTCGCCAGATAACGAATTGTGTGCAGGCGATTAAGAAATCGAAACGAGGTTGTTGCCTCCCGAAGGCGTTTTTCTGCTGTTAGATTTTCAAGTTTTGGAAAAGTTTCGGATGTGCCGTGTTGTGGTCGCAGAGTCGGGTAAAGGGTTTTACAGATTTACAGACTGCTGGTTCGGAGGGCTTGTGTTATGTTGCAATTCAGAGTTTATTGTGAAATGCAAGCCTGTAATCTGCTGTGTTAATGCGCCCCCATGGAGTGGGTTTTCAGTATAGTTTCTATGAAAGAAATGTCCAAGTTTGTGGAGTGAATATACCAATGACTATAAATGAAGGAGCTGTTGAGAAGCACAGGGGATTTCGCCGTTATCGTGCATATTACAGTTTAAATAATGCTTGTTTTTACTTTTTATTGTCGGGGAAATTGAAAAGTGGACTTTTTGCCGTCAGAGGGCACAAGCTGCACAAACAGCTGCACAAGTTTATTTCCCACTGCTTTATCATTTCTAATCGCTTATGATTTATAGGTTAACTTGATTTCCTTCTAGATATGCTTCTTACAGTTGCAGCGACACACAGTCTTATGTCATTAACTTATGAAGTGCTCATTAGGGTTTAAAAATGAGGTTTATGGTCTCTTCAGCTTTCCACGGGCCAGGATTGTATATGTGCCGATTAAGGGGTGCAGCAGTGTGTTTTGAGTCGTTAGACATTGTGGTGCCCTGAATAGTACCAGGGGCTTCACATTGTGTTCAATGGGCTCCAGTTCCAAAGGGCCTTTGAGTTTTCTGCTTACACCTTCGTGTAAGTTGTTTTTTATTGGCTCAGCTGGCCATATTTCTGGAAGAAGAATACTTTACAAGAAGCTTTTGATTCGAGGTGCAGTCAATTGACTAACACTTTGTGAACTTTTTAGTCATTAATGCATTTCCATTGTTTCTTGCCGAAGGCGTGTATTTCGCCATGGTAAGTGAGTCTGTGGATCTGGAAGTTGAATTAACAGAAAGTGACATTAAGATGTAAGTGGTTTTTAATTATGATGTATAGACACGATAACTATTGAGGCCATAGTGTGGTGCCTTGCTCTGAATAACAAGCAGGATGACTGCAGTTTCCAGTTTTTCTGACAGTGTTGTGCTTTTCATTCTTTGCCTTAGCTTAAGACACGACCGAGATGCCTGTCCTCCTCCGTGCTTGATGTGACCCCAAGGCTTTTGCTGGTGTGGTGTAGGATGGCTACACATGGCCTCCAGTGGAGCTGAGGAAGTGAAACTGGCCTCGCAGCCTGGTGGTTCTGTCAGAGTTGGGTCTGCTGTGGTCAAGCCCCCCAGTTACTACGCCTCCAGTCCCCTGGAGAGAAGGCATCCGAAACCCGCCGAGTCTCGGCTTCCCCTCGCCGGTGGCTGTGGGTCCCAAAGTAATGTGAGAGTGCTACGGGACCGGCTCTGCTTCTTCTCAGGGATCCCTCCGCACCGTGCCTACCTCGGCGTGCCTGCGACTGGCACGGCGGGATCTGCCTTCATCCCGAAGGTCTCGCAGCATTCCGCAGTTCCCCTCGTCCCTTTCAGCAGCCCTTGCCGCTTCGAACAGACCGTCTACAGCTACAGGCCTTACTGGCGCCTGGAGTCTCTCAGGTTCAGGTCTGGGATCCTGGGGAAGCGGGCCTTTTCTTCTCCTCAGCCCGCCGTTTACCCGACGTGCCCTTCTCCCCCCAAGGCTGCTTCCAGAAAGCAGCCACTGGTTATCGAGAGTGCCATGCCCACCAATCAGCCCTCCACATGGACTAGCAAGCCTAGAATAAACACTTTTATGAAGCCAACCAGCGCAAAAGTGCCTTCTTGCCCCCAACGGGAGTCTAGCAATACAGGAATACCTTCTTCCACCTTCGACTTGGCTGCTTCCTATTATTATGGGGATAAGGGTGATATGAAGATGGATCCACGGCCCGCAAGATTGAACAAACCTGTGCCTTCCCTCACTTGCAGTACACCCTTCCCTGCAGACCGACAAAAGTGTAACCCAGAAAGTGTTAATGATGTCATTCTTGAGGAGATCTACCAGGCACAAAGTGTGGAATCCTGTGCTCCCACCGTCGTCTCCGAGAGGACCGTTAGCAGTTCAGAGGGTTGTGTCGGCCAAGTTACCGGCGACGTGGAGAAGGCCAGTGTTAGCTTTCAGATCACGCCCGTGGAAGCGGAACAGAGGTTGCCCAAAATCAGCTCGCAGCGGAGGAATGAGATTCGGAACGGTCTCGTCAAGCAGCCTGGGTTGGATGGGTGTCCTGCCGAGCCTAAATTGGTTAGGAGCAGGTTCCACGATGGTACCGAGAAGCAGGAAGCTAGATCTTCAATGCAGCCACTCCTGGGTCAGCCCCGCCTTACGTCACCAACGAAAGCCTCAAGGTTTTGCCTTACGAATGGCGAGATGGAAGCAAGTCCAGCGCAGGTGACCACACTATGCATGCAAAACACTGAGAGTGGAAATGCACCATCGGTTTCCAACAGTCCCTCTTTAGAATCCATCCAGGTCAATGCCAGTACCATTCTACCTCAGGGAGAGTGTGTGGAACCAGTGTTTTCTCATCAACCATCTGTCTACTCTGTTGCCACACAAATATCTGCCTTTCATTTGAGCAAAGAAGCCAAGCCTCTTGTGAAAGAGGAGGATCAGCCCTGCATAGTGATGAAAGACTTGGAGTAAGTAGCATTTAGTATGTTTTCATTAGCTATAAGTATTCTTATGAAACTGATCAAATAAATAAAACTAAGTTGGGTATTTATTTTCTTTATGGAAGATAAGAACTGCACTGTAGCTCGTGTCGGAATAAAACTGTTTGACACAACGGACCCATTTTTACAATCTCACTGCACAACACTGAAATATGGATTAAAAGTCAGAGATAAAACATCACCAAACAAGTTCTTGGCTCTTTGCTTTGAGATTTGACTAACAACTTCTTAACTGTTTTGGGTGTCCTTATAATTTGTCTTCTCAATTAATATTTCATTTGAGATCATTTGTTATGTTTATATGCAAGCACTTTATTTGCATGTTGCAAGTAAGTAGCTCCCAAAGTGTTTTCACACTACTGAGTATGTAATATCTTTTCTCTGTTGGATTTAGGAAAGCAAAAATTAAAACCCCTTTAGTTTTTAAAATTAAATTAAGGCCCTAATATCTGACATTTCTGTATATGAATAGGTCTGTCAGAAATGATATTGTCCTAAATATTTTTCTTGTTTTAATGCCAAATGTTTTAATATCCAAGTGAATCATTAGCACTTACTGTACCTTTAATCCTTGCCTGGGGCTGCTTTGTCTCATTGTACTTTTGCCCTGTTATTAGGAACAGACTGATTTTAATTTTGTGATCAGAAAGTGTTGTCCCAATAACACTGCAGTCTGGATACCGTGCTACTGTTTTTCAGAATACCCCCTTGTGTTTTGAAGAGATTTAAGCTAAATCAGCTTTCTAGTTACTTAGGTATCATTTTAAACTCAAACCTGCTTATTCACATCACACTTGTGCACTTGACTCTTAGCTTCTTAACCTGCGCTACAACCTTCTGATCTTTGCTGTTCTCCATTCTGTGCCACCTACCAGATTTTGCTCTTTGCATTCTCTCTGTTCAAGGCTACCAATTACATTCCACCTTTTCACTTAAGGTGCTCTGATTGTGCATACCTTGTGTTTTACTGTCATTGTTTGGCTGTGATGTTATGGTGACGTCTTCGTGAATTGCTGTGATCTTTGCGGAAAAGAAAGATCGAGTCTTGGTCATTACTGCAGAGTACAAACCAGATGCTTTTTGGGATGTCTGTTTTTCAATGGCTTTTTCCAGTGGCTTTCAGCAAGTCCTTTAAGATGGAAAGGGGGTTTAGCTTTTTGTTTATAGGCGGTCCCCTTTAGTTCTGCTAAAATTTCTCTCACCGTTTTTAAGTCCTGACCATGAAGCCATGATGCCAGATATGGATGCTGATGAGGAGGAGCTGCCAGAGGAGCTAGAGAACGACAGCAATGTAGAAGATGATGGTTGGTATTCTTTCCTTGTAGCCAGTGTTGAGATTGAAGTGAGGAGTAAAAAAAGTTGGAGGTTCAAAATGTTAACATTTATTTGGTTGTAGTGTTATTAGAGATCGTGATTAAGAGGATTGGCGTTTTATACCATTAAGATTTAGACACTGTAAAAGCTACTAAAAGGTTCAGTACCACAAAACCCGGCTTTGAAATGAACTTGAAAAACATTCACAGGACCCTCTCATATATATCTAGTAGAATTTCAGTCATCCTGTGACCTTGTTCTCAAAAACCACTAATGAAGCTACATTCTATCAAGTGGAGTCTCACAACCCTCTTGGTCTTTTTGGTATAAATTTCTTAGATATTTTCCATTTGAGGTGTATTTGTATGGCATATCTTATTTTATTCTTCTTTATCTTTGTTTATGGAGTTACTTTGTTTCATCCCATTACCTCAGCAACATATTTTGAAGTTTAATTTTAGGTTGCCTTTTTTTTTTCCCTTGACCACAGATGGATCGGATTGCTGTTCCATAAATGATGCATCCTCTGCGTCTTCTATGGTTGTCATATCAAGGTAAGCAAGTCTTTTTACACTTGAAGACAATTCAGCTACAGTAGTTGAGGGTTTTGTTATTCTTTATAAAAGGTCACATGCCACGTTTGTCTTTAGGCTGTTTGTACTGACATTATGAACTAGCTTTCTGTATTAATTCTCATGAAATGTTTTAGAGTTGATATTATGTAAACAACATATTATTCTGAATTATCTTTTAAACAAATTTAATTTCCCCAAATAAAAAAAAACAAAATTAATTTTTCAGAGTTTTACATTTTCCACGTTTGTGAAGCTTAGCATTTTAGATTTCAAAAATAGAAAAGGTCCTACACAGTCAGCACCAAATAATGAATTTGTTTGGCAGTTGACAGACCAGAAACAATTTAAATACAGGCACATAAAAGACTTCACAATTCTGGAGTAGGCCTGTAATCTAGAAACAACCTGATGTTAATTAGAAATAGCTGAAACAGCTACTAAATATTCACTATAAATATATATTATTTCAGGTGTGGTAAAAATATCTGCTGGGATGTGCAATTGCTGTTTAAAGACTTGACACTTCCCACATTTAATAATTGCACATTTGCCTGAGTGTACTTTTATACCTCATTAAATTACAATAAACTGGGTGAATCAGGTTTTGTTGAATACACTTTTTAGTCATTTTAAGCTATTAACACCACTTTACGTAATATTAGATCAGCAAAACCCAAATGAATACAGTCATACAAATCTCTCACTAGTATTATCTTTATGATTTGGTTTTATTGTCTGAATGTTCTGGGCAAGTGAAAGGTACCCAAAAACGTTTTCTTTGAATTTCTTTTAACTGCTGATTTTTGTTCAAGGCTAAGATATATTTTAATCATCCGCATAAAAATGTTTTTTTGGGACCTGAAAAGTTTAAACAGAAATGTCTAAGATAATTCTTTATAGAGTGCTTTGACTGGTTAACTTTTATATAGCTATTTAGGTGAGTTGTAAAAGGAGGATATATAAGGATAATCTGGCACATTTTAACAGTAATATAATACGTGAACAATCAGACAGTCCTCTTGTACTCTTTGGTTTCTGCAGGAGCTGTATTGAGGAGCCAGTGGTGAAAGAGTCGGAGGAAAACAAGGTTTTGAAGCCTGCACTGGTGCCAAGCTTATTCCCAAATGTGCTTCCCACCTTATACTTCAGCACTCCCGATGAGAAAGGTCAGTGGAGGGCAGTGCATCTTGGATGTTGGCTTTAGCTCTTGGACATTGTTACTGGCTTTTCATGATTGTTTAGTTCATGATGTGGCAGTGTGCTGCCCTTTGTGTCGTTTGATTGGCAGGTCTTTTTGTTGGAGGTAGGGTTGACCTTTCAGGATTGGTTTAATTATATGACCCTGGTTTCCACTGTTTTTTTTTTCTTTCTTTTTACAGGCATAATTTGTTTTCTTTAGATTGCTGCTTATGCCTGGAAGATTTACTGAAAAGTTCACCAACTAGCAATCTTTTGTGTGGGCAGTCGATAAAGAGCTGTGAGCTTGCAAAATGCAAGGGTGATGAATGTTGAAAATTCATGGATCTAAAACAATCTCCCTTTGTCAGGGTTGTAAAAATATGCTAAAAAAAGTGACAAAATGCAGTGTAAGCCACTGTAAAGATGTTTTTTTTCCTTTACTGTAGGTGTTCTTTGTGGTCCTCTCATGTTAAAAAGATTAAATATTTTTTATATATATATTTATATATTTGAAACTGCAGCAAAGAAACACCTTTCTAACATTTGTTTCCAACACTGCCTTACAATTTCTGTCTCAATAGTTAAAATAGTATTAAGAGTGTACATGGATGATTAGGGAAGATATTATCTTTTTACAAGATCTCTTTTACACACCCTCATGTTTATATTATGCTAAAACGGCACCACAGACCTAAAAACCCTACAGTCATCTTTTATCAAAGTTGAATCTTGGCTGTCTCTACAGTAATTCATACAGCTGAATATCTTCAGCTTTAGTGTTTCTTTATTTTCATTTGATAGAATGACCTTCTTGAATTGTGTACCAGTCTTAGTAGTTAATTTCATGAATATAATGTATTGATTTAATGTTGGTATTGATTCTGATTTTAATAGTTGTAGTGTCTGGATAATAGAAGCTTGTGTAGTTTTGCAGAAAATACAGGTCTTCTGTAACTTATTTTTATTTCTTTATTTTTGTTGTACGATTGCAGTGGAGCTCTTGTCTTCAGAACAGAAGAAACTGTTGAAATGGAAGATGAGTACTGTGACCCCCAACGTGGTGAAGCACACAATAGCAAGATCTCATTTTAAAGCCAGCAAAAGTGAGTAGGTCCCAGAATTATGGCAAAGTAGAGACGTCTAGTTCTTACTAGCTGGGTTTTTTTTTCTTCAATCCTGAGCTCTTAGCTACTTAATTTAAACTCTGACTTAATTGCCTATATTTGTTATTCCTTTTAACCCATCTTGCCACAGGTTAAAAAGAGCTATAACTCCAGGTTTTCCCACCAGGATAAGGTTTTGGACATCTGTGATTTGGGGTTTAAATTCCTGATATGTTTTGATTAATGGTGATGGGGACACTTGACATTTTTTGTAATTCTAGAAAGCTATGACTGGCTAGGTTGCTGGGGTCACCACATGAAATCTCCTGGATTCAAGGCTATCAGGGAATATCAGAAGGTATTGAAAGTATTCACTTTGTCTATTTGTTTCGAATGGTTCACTTGCTAAAACAAGCATGTTTGTCCCCGTATGTGTGATGCGTATGAGTCCCAAAATGTGTGATGTCATATATAAACATTTAGATAATTAGCAGGTAATAAACAGCCATTCATTCCCTTTCATTACTAAACCACCGTACTCGTCCCATTTATAGTTTACTAGCTGGAATTGTAGATTTAACATTCACAATATTTAGTCTTTAACTTCTTTTTTTTTGCTGTTCCAGCTGAATCACTTCCCAGGTTCCTTCCAAATTGGACGGAAAGACCGTCTGTGGCGAAACCTATCCAAAATGCAGGCCCGCTTTGGGAAAAGAGAATTCAATTTCTTCCCACAGTCCTTTGTGCTTCCACAAGATATCAGGCAGCTGAAGAAGGCCTGGGAAGAAAGTGGGAGCAAGCAGAAATGGATCATAAAACCGGTAAACTGTGGCTTGAAAGGCATTCCATTTCCTCCACCGCAGTGGAAACTGTTCAGTTTTCAGTTTCTCATCATCCCACTTCAAAATTTGTCAATCGCAATTTTTAGCAATGATTGCTTACATGTTATTTTTACAGTATGTGCATCTGGCGCAAAATACACAATAGTGTGTAAAAAGCTTTCAAGTAGAAGTGAAGATAGATAGCATTGCACAAGAAACAGTAGAGTGGTTTTTGCAGTATATAATATAGTATTGAGAGGCATAAAGACATTAGTTCTGAACTTAGCACTGTCTAAGTTCTTAATTTGGGTGCTTTCGAAACGCATTCTGTTAACAATTGGTTCTATTTCTTTGTTAAACTTTTTTCAGCCTGCTTCAGCAAGAGGGATTGGGATTCAGGTAATTCACAAATGGAGTCAGCTGCCAAGGAAGCGGCCTCTTCTGGTACAGAAGTGAGTAAAGCAGGAGTATGGAACCGCGGAACAGAGAGCCTTGTTTCATTCCTTCCGATTTTATAGGGCGACCTGTTATTCTACTTACTATAGAAATGTGGTCCGATTTATAATTTGACAACCGCTGATTTTTAGTGATGATTTGACTTTAAACAATGTTTAGTTATATAATTGTATACATGTTCAGGTGGGTGGCTGCGTCAGCATGCGGAGGCTGCAAAGGAACAAGTAATAGGTCTATTCCATGCTGAAAAGATTGTGTTTTCTTTCTTCTCTTTTCAGCATGGAATAAACCTATTACTTGTTTCATTGCATACATGTTTTGTACATATCCCAATCATAACCTTTCCAAGGTTTGTATTACAATTTCTAACTGATATTGTTTGGGCAAATTTGTCAAAGTACTTTTTCTTCCAAAGTTAATTTAATGCATTTGCTTAAAATTAGTTTCTGAAAAGCTAACTTGCTGTTCTGAAAGAGGTCACTTGTAAGACATGACTAATAGTTACTTTTGATGGATTTACAGACCCGATAATCATGGACACACATCAGCGATGCTCAATGTTTTTGTTGTAGGTATCTTCACAAGCCCTACCTCATCAGTGGAAACAAGTTTGACCTGCGGATTTATGTGCACGTCACGTCTTACGATCCACTTCGAATCTACATGTTTACAGATGGGTTGGTCCGGTTTGCAAGCTGCAAGTACGTTATGAGCACGATGCCCATTTTTTCATTACGTTTTATGTTTATCATGAGTTCATACAATTTTTGTAATTAAGTTTTTCAATTTGCATTGCATGTAAGCACAGAGGAAACCAGACAGGATTACCACCATGTATAATAAAGTCAATTAAAATTAAAAGAAAACAGGTATTGTTTGGAAAATGTATGATGTGTGCTGTGCCAAAACAAATGGTTTGAATCGGTTTTTGAATAACATTTTGAATAATTAGGAAGCCACTGCTGCAATGGAGTAGCATTTGAAAGTGTAGAAGAGTTAAAGACGAGAGCATCGTGTATAGGGAGGGAGCCAGGACAGCTACAGTAAACCCAGGCAGGAGAGTGTGAGGCCCTGGGGTTGAAGTTAATGAAGAATAGTGGGTGTGTTAAGCCGGATTCTGTGGAAGGTGCTCAGGAAGAAGTGACAGGAGCCTGCCGATAAGGGAATTGACATGAAACTCAAAGTGGCAATAGAGAGGACCGACCAGAGAACAGCTGAGGGGGAGAGAGCAACAAGCCAGTGGTGCCATCCTGCCCACAAAGATGGCAAGCGTGGTTTAGGACATAAGCAGAGCAGTGGGCTGCCAGCGAGGGAGAATTGTAAAGGGGAGTGCTAGCTTTTGCGAGCAATGATATCCATAGCAAGCAAGCAAGACATCAGCATTATTAGAAGTTGTTTTGGTTGTTCTAAAGAGAAAGTAGAATGATTATAAGATGGGAGCACGAGGGGGTGGTGAAGGAACCTGGGATAGAGCATGAGGTCAGGAGTAAAAAGAGAAAATAATGGGATCTGGGAAGTGTAGTCACGATGGGGAGCAGTGGAGCAGTAATGATAGATCTCTTGGGTCTTAGTGTCTTTGTGGCTGTAGGTACTCTGACATTGCATCCTATGTTGACCTGTGGTACGGTAGGGTTACACAATTAATCTATTGATTGTACATTACCTCCATATATAATGATAGCCGTTACCTGTTTTTAATTGTACTCCTCCTGTATGTGTGCACTTTTACCTAAGGAATATTCTTCTGCAGCTTTGCTTAGAACTAGGTGTAATACATTTTATTCTCTAACCACAAAATTAAAAGTAATTGGAAGTCCCTCGTAAATTGAATTGGTGCTAGAAGGCTGTTCTGTATTACTAGTTAATACCGTTTTCAGAAGTGTGCATTGTCAGCAGTGCACATCGTGAATATGCTGCAAAGCCCCTATTTCTGTTCAGCAGGGTTCACATGGTCATGAAAGGTCATCAGAATTGTAAAAGGATTTTCCTGACCTAGAAATACAGTGGAATTTTGTCAATAGGCAGAATGCCATCGAAAAGCCATGAGACCTGACCGTCTTAGTCAGCCTCTCACGTGCCATTGAACCATCTCGTGACAAGCACATTTCTGCTGCATCCCAAGCAAATAGGCATAAGTTCTAAACTTTAGTGTTTGGTCATAAAACATAATTTGTGAAAAGATGCTGGTAGTTCTAAATTGGTAGGTAATATTGAAGATGGAGAGTAGAGTGGATTGAAAGATGGTTTGTCACATATGTGCTAAACCTTGATTGGTTTCTGAAGTGGACATGTTTTTAGTTTTGAATAAGTAGCGGTATTTTATTTACCTCTTGAGTTGAACTAGATGTCAGTTTCCTAATGTCTGGTACATGTTCCATTCCCATGGAGAAGAAAGGTGAAATAAGGTTTTTATAAGTACAAAACTGTCCCCTTCGTGTATTGTAGTCTAGTTATGTTGCAACAATAATGATAAATTGATATTTTTTTTTCTTTCCCCTTAGGTATTCTTCATCTATGAAAAGCCTGAGCAACAAGTTTATCCACATAACAAACTACAGTGTGAACAAAAACAATTCAGCTTATCAGCCCAACAGTGATGACAAAGCCTGTCAGGGTCACAAATGGTGAGCTTGTGCTTCATCTCTTAATCCACACATTCATTTTACTTATCCGACTGTCTAGCTGCCCAGTTAACCATTTTAACCAAGTGTAAACTGTCAGTAGGATTTTTCTCCTCAAATTCTAGGGCCCCATATTTTGCCAGTTTATTTTTATTTTTTTTTCAGGTAAATGCCCAGAGAGTACTGGAACAAAAAAACTGCAGATAACTTTTTAAATGTGCAAATAAAGCCCTGATCACATATAGGTTTTTGTAGTTTGTATTCAGCACATGTACTGCAGACAGTACCCCATGTTTAAACTGAGGAATTCTGCTGACTTTTAATCCTCTGGTTTTTATTTCTGTTCTTTTTTGTATATTAAAGTTTTGGATTCACAAAGTACAGCAGGTATACAGGGGAGCTAAAACAGCTTGTATACTTTTAAAAACTGTACCTCATATCACCATATTTAAGTTTAGTAGCCATTGCCTTCTATGTAAAAACCATCAAACTACTCATAACTGCTATAGGCTCGTTCCAAAGTTTTAGAGTAACTTCATGGCTGTTGAGCCTGCCAGTACACTGTGTTGTAATCATAATGGTCTTTACCCCACAAAGCTGTTGTGCTACTCAAATCAGTACTTTGGTGAATTGTCTGTTTTCAGTTATGTAGGGATGGCTGGATAAGATTAAAGATCTGTGGTAATTCTGGCTTTTGACATTTTCACAGTTTTCACTCATCTATACCTAATATTTACCTGCATGATTTCTACCCCTAAAATGTTTTACAGTATTAATGCAACCTGATCTACTGACATCTCCTGAGCACCAACAGCTTGATTCTAGATTGTGAAATGTGTGCTTTTGTATGTCTTGGCTCCTAAATTCTATTTTAGAGACATATTTTTGCTAAACTCTAGAAATAAAAGAATTTATTGAAAGTGAATTGTAGGTTATTAATATTTAAACTGTATCGATAGGACACAGCATAGGATGCTTTCAATTACAATTCTCTGTTGGTAAACATAGCACCAAAATTGCTGTTTTAAACTAAAAATGTCAAGGTATTAATTTGTTCTATTTGCTGTCATTAACTATGAAGGGCTTTGAAGGCACTGTGGCAGTATCTGAATTCAAAAGGAGTGAACACTTCTTTGATTTGGGAGAAGATCAAGGACATTGTGATCAAAACCATCATTGCGTAAGTGTTTTTATACACTTCTCCTAATATTTCTGTAACTTTATCCCCGAGCTGTTTTGAAACCTCCTTGGTCTTTGTGGTCAAATCGTTCCTTGAAATTCACTACCAGACTGTGATTCACATAATTTCAAAATGTATATATACCTTTCTCTGTAAGGTTCCGCAATTGTTGCACACTGACAGCATTCCGCTAATTGTGTGATTTGGTAAAATAACTTTGTGTACATGAACTAATTAGGATTTCCTTAGCAAATGGGGGAGGGGTACTTCTGCAATAAACAGTTTAGTTTTTGTGATGTTCTTTAAGTTTTTACCCAAATCTAATTTTTCACCCAGAAAATCATTGAGTTTGAGCATGATTTAAATATTAGCTTTGGGGGGGGGAAATACCTCATTTGTAGCTCAATAAGATTGAACATTTTGGATGAGAAAGGAGTGAATGCAAAAGCAAGGCACTGTACCTCATCCTGTTTTGATCATTGCAAAACAATCGTCTTTGCAGTGTTTGCTATCGCAGGAGGAAACTTCCATAGCTGATACGCGGGAAAGACGTCTCCAGTTTTATCTACAGAACCAAGATTTCCTGTCTCATTCATACGGGTTGTGTGTGTTTCCCTTGCAGATCTGACCCATACGTGAACAGCCTGGTTAAGATGCATGTGCGCTGCCCCTACAGCTGCCACGAGCTGTTTGGTTTTGACATCATGCTGGATGAAAACTTAAAGCCTTGGGTCTTGGAGGTCAACATCTCGCCAAGGTAACTTTGCACCTTCCATCTTCACTGGAATTGAGTGTGGAACATGATTACTGATGTAGAGGTTCTACAGTGTTCTTCGTAAGGCAGAGACAATCTTTAGTTTAAGATCACTTTATTGGACATATGCAATTTCTTGCATTAGGAATTTCTTTTCTCATATCCCAGCTTTCTCTCCATGAGACACACAGGCTGTGTCGGAGAGAGAAGCTTGGGGTCAGAGGGCCATTTATACAGCGCCCCTGGAGCAGCTGGGGTTAAGGGCCTTGCTCAGGGGCCCAACGGAGTTGGACTCCTCCGCTGGCCACGGGATTTGAACCGGCAACCTTCCAGCCACAGGCACAGATCCTTAGCCACTGTGCCACCCCTATAGAGTCCCATTCAGATCAGAATCTTATTGCAAGGGAGAATTAGGGGTCAGGGCTGGGTAGGAATCAAAACAGCACTTGGCACCTCCAAAATCTACCTTGACGTTCGCGGTGGACAGTACCTTTAATTTAAGAAAAGAAGGCACCAAATGCAACAGCTTGCCACCTTGCTAGGACACTGGTTTGGGATTTCCTCCAGAAGAAGAGAGCCACCTACTGCTACACCAGCAGCAGCCTGATATTCCTAGTGCTGTCTAGGTCCATCTGTACCTGTTTTCTAATTATTAATTGGGAGCAACTGCAAATAATGTTGGCTAGAGACCTCTAATATTATTTATATTTTTTTTTTCAATCAAGAGTGTTAGAAGAAATACGGTTTGTAAAGTTTTCATCCCTAGACATGTAAGAAATCTCCTGAGGTCCGTTTATTTTGATGACAACAATATCTATCACATCAGGCTATTTCCTAAGAGATATGATACATTTTTATTTTTGGATGAAATTACATAGGAAGACTTAACAAAATATCCCCATTACCTTTGTCCAGATTTTTTTGTTTTTGAGATATTACTCATATTTAGGTTTTCTACTGTTATCTGAATACTTTCAATAATTTTGACTGCAACAGGTATAAAATGATAAAACTGTGTTGCAGGAGATCTTGCTCAGTTTTATATTGTAAAAATACACAGAACTTCTTATATTTCAGTTAAATCTGAGGCCTGCAGCTCTAGTCCTGGAGAGCTAGTGTCTTCTGGATTTAATTCCAGATTATTTCTGAATCAGTTAATTGGATTAGTCAATTGCTTAATTAAGAGGAGTTAATGCTGTCCAGGAAAATCTCAGCTAACCGACTCTTTAAAGTTGCTTAGAAACCCAGAGCAGATGTTCCCCAGTTCTGTTCCTTGAGGGATACAGGGTGTTCTTGTTCTCATTTGGAGCTGTTGATAAGATAATGAATATGATTTTTCAATAACTTTCACCATTTAATCCTTTCCCAGTGAGTTGGAGACCTATGACACTTGATGCACTGTGGCCTTGGAGAAAAAGCTATGGGCTTTTAACGTTTCGTTTGTATTTCAGCCTCCACTCAAATTCTCCACTGGATGTTGCCATCAAGGGACAGATGATTCGGGATGTCCTGAACTTGGCAGGGTTTGTTCTACCTCAGAAAGAGGATGTGATATCTTTTGGAAATGCATCCAGCTCTTCAAGCAGGTCCGTGCTGTAAACTGGTGTCAATTTTAATGCATTCTGCTTAGCTGCCTAGAGAGGGACATATCGGCTGTGGGCATACTGTATTGGCACAGCTCTTACAGGAAAAAAATAGGTGTCCAGCTGTCAAAAGGCCCAGTGTTAAGACATGCAAAAATAAAGCTAAAACCAATATAAACATTTGCAGTAAGCATACAGAAATAAGAAATTTACCTAGAGTAACTTTGAAAATTGGCCAGGTTGGCTTAGAGCTAGCACAGTCATGGGTGCTTCTTTCATAGTGTAAAAATGCATGTGCACTCAGGGTCTTATTTTTAGTAGTAGTCAATTGTTTCATTCTGTATTATGATGCCCCAAATGGTCTAATGTAAAGTTTATAAATGTGTTTATTTTGATATGTGAATTTAAGACCTTGGAAATCCAAAGAAACTTGATTTATTTTAAATAACTATTTCAAACCTTTTTATTTTATCGAAAGCCATGAAAACCTTTTGAAAAAATGCTTTTTAAAATTAAAACCGAACCATGTGTATTATTTTAAGTCTATATTGGGTTAAAGAAACTTGTTTTGTTTTCAGCTTGTCTGCAAACGCGAAAGAGAAGACTAAATATGTTACTGAGCTGTCTTCTGATGAGAAGGTGAAAAGGGCTTACTTTCTGAGCCAAAGGTTTGCAGAGCAGGTAACAATTCCAGCTATACGTTTTTAAAGCTATTTGCATTGAACATTAAAGAGTTTTGTCAGGTTGCTTCTATTTTAGACTTTCTTCAGTTTTGGTTTCCGTTACATTTGACACTTTGTGTCTTTGGAGAGAGAAAATGTTTTATTGTTCCTTGTAGAAAATGGTAGCCCAATTTGGCGTTTCAACCAAGAATCTTCCTGAGTCTGCCTTAGCACCTTACAGATTGGTATAATTGCTTAAGTCCAAATTTGTTTATAATACATGAGGCTTTGCATAACAAATATGTCAGCATTATAGACATAATGTTGTAGTTCAAGTAGGTAGCTGTGTCAGCATGCGTAGGCTGCAAAGGAACAAGTAAAGGTTTATTCCATGCTGAAGAGAGAAAAAAAGAATATGAGCATCCATAGCTGATTAATTCATTTTGTTGTACCTCTCATACCTCAATAAAATACAACTTTGCCATTCCATGAGCTGATTCTTTTTCTGGGGTGATGCATTGTCTGTTCTGTGTATTAAGATGTTGGGGTACATCGATGGCATTAAAATCGCCCATTTATATTGCTAAAGTAAAACCTTTCACAGGCCACTTCAGTCTTGTTTTACACTTGCAGATAACATTTGAATATCGCGCTACTGGGATAACCTGCCTTGGAAAAAATATAGATGAAACCTACTTTTTTTCCAAGGTGCTTGCTTAATACATTTTTGCAATTTGGATAAAACATAAATTCTTAATGGAATTATGACAATTTTAGCAGGCTTTGTCACCAACTAACATGAACATGTCATTACTGGGGGGGGAACGCTAAGGATTTGCTAATTACCTGAGCCTCTTCTTTCTCTGGATGGCTAGGAGTTCTTGTCTTCGATCCTGGACGTGTTGACTCCTGATGATGTTCGGGTGTTGGCAGAAACGGAAGACGAGTTTTGCAGGAGGGGGGAGTTTGAGCGCGTGTTTCCCACCCCCAGCTCCTCGCGCTACCTTCGCTTTTTTGAGCAGCCACGATACCTCAACATTCTCCTTGACCAGTGGGAGCAGAAGTACTGTCTCAACAGGCAGAAAGGTAGGGCTCCTGCTGCACTTGGCGCAAGATTGTCCAGGTCTTTACCGCTTGTCTTCTGCAGAGGTTTTATCTTCTGCATAGATGACGAGAGCAGTTACTGTTAAGAATGCAACAGCTAACCGCAGTGTCACTGAAGCGACGGTGCTCTGACGCTGATCTCTGGACCACAGACCTCAGTGATATTATACTTGAAGCCTGTAGGCTAGAGGAGAAGTTAATCTGATCAGAGATGTTTTCTCAGTGAGCTGCAGCTAAAATAATGTTTTGCATAAATATAGTATTGTTTGAAACAAATTACAAGTCGGTAAATAAAGTTGCAAAGTCTGACAGTGCTTGAAAAGCAGCAGATTTAATTCATTAAATTTTCTTCATGGTGTGACATAGAGATCCCAGGTTTCAGCTTTGTGAACAATGCGATCCAAGTTCATTTTCATGAGGGCCATGTGGGGTCATTTGACCATGTGGAAGAATTCTCAAGACAACGTCTGTCGCAGATGTTGACATACTCTGCATGTCTTCTAATGTAGATCCTCAATAAATGTATAATTTAAATGAAGGGTAATGTTAAGACTGCAAAATGCCACTAGTAAGAACTCAATTTGAATATTGTGCATAATTTACAGCATGTTACAAAATAATATTACCGTTCTGGAATTGGTCCATAGGAAAGCAACCAGATGGGTTCCCAGACTTCCTTATCTGAAAGGCTGAAAACATTTGATCTTTTTAGTCTTTGACTGGGGCAATCAAGTTTTCCAGAATCCTGAAAAGCTTTGACAAATTTATCCCAGTCAAGTTCTTCAGAATCAACAGTGAAACATGAACCAGTCACTTAGGGAAATGCTGATGGAAAGAGAGCAGAAGGCACTTCTTTTCACAAAGGGTTGTGCAATTTTGGAATAAACCTCTTAGCCCTTTGTGAGGGCGATACTCCAGTTTCTTTCAAGAAAGAGCTGCATATGATCCTTGGTTCAGTCAGAAGATAGTTATTAAACAAGGTAAATAGGCCAAATAACCTCCTCTAGTTTGCATTTGTAAGCTAGTTGCTTATGTTTCAAAATTAGTGGAGGCCAGATTCCCCACCCCTAAGGCTAGTTTGGTACTGTGACATTTGACATCGGTCTGACATGTGAGCTACACTGATGCAGGGAGAGCCGTTTTAAAAATACAGATGGGTCTGTTCAACACAGAGACGGGGTGATTACAAACTCCCACTGAAAAAAGTTCCATGCTAAGTGTCTTCCAGGTTTCAGCAAAAGCAAAAATGACAAACTGAGTCTTTTTTAGATATGAAAATGAAACCCTTCTGTGACAGAAAAATAACTTTGCATATTCTGCAATTAAACTTGAAACACGCATGAAACACGCCTTCAGCAAGAGAAGTTGTTGAACTGGGGCTTTAGTACTCAATCAAGTAACCAATTTAAAATTATTTTATAGCAACCCTTTTTGTAAGCATCTGCTTTAGTCTGTCAGCCTTTAAAAAATACTTAGAAATAAGAGACATCTCCTTCCCCTTATTACATAAGAAAGGCTTGCTTGAATGGTTTAGAAAACATCTTCAGTCTGTTAATACTAACATAATGTTGACATTTCCAAATACTTGACTAGATTTGGTATAGTAGTTTTGTTTAGAACTCTCAGATCCACTCCACAACAGTAGATCTTGCCTTTTTTTAGTTTCTTAATTTTGTATTTTAGGTATCAGTGTGTTGAAGAGTTTTTGTCAAACAGGGGTTCATTTGGGAAACAGTTCTGATCCGGCACACCTTGTGAGTACAAAGTTGCTTTTTCATAAAAACTGAATGTTTCTGCCTCATGGCAAAATCTTGTCTGATCATAGCATCGTTTCCCCACGCTAAATAATGGCTTTATTGTGATTTATATCAGCTCACCAATCTGTTTTTTTTAAAGATACTTGGTTAAAGTCTGAGCATTTTACCCATTTGTAATCGCAGTTAATTCACCTTGACGCTGCAAGCCTTAGGACTTGCTGTGACCAACCTGCAAGAAAAGAGCAGACTCTGAAGTTATATGTGCTCTAAGGCAACCTAGTAAACTGCTAAAGAAAAATGCTTTAAGTATAAGGAATATTATTAACATCACAAATGTCCATTGTCCTTTGTCAGTGGTCCTCAAAATCCAGTGCTTTCCAGAAGCTTGAATCTCATGGTCCTATGACACCTAAACAGGAGTCGGTCAGAGTCAGGTAAGAACAATCTTAACTCTGCAATGTATCGATGTGTAAAAGCAACTGTAGCGCTTTGATTTTTCTCAAAGTATATTTACTTCAAGAACATATTTACTTAAATGTTTAAATATTTACTTAAAGTCTTTGGATCAGGGAATTCAGAGTATTTCTGTGGTTCTAGGAATCAGAAAAATAAGGAAGGTACACACATGAATTAAAAAATACCGGATATAAATGTATTAATAGAATAAAATGTGGTAGTTAAAGCAATGCAAGAATAAATGTAAAAAAAGGTGATACAAACAGCTGATCAGTTACTCTGATTACTACATCTAACTAATGCAGAGTTATGTCATTATGATTATTGAAATAACAGATCACTTGAATGCAATTTGACATTTTAATATGTGGATTGCAAAGATGCACACTGAGATATTTTGAGTGTCAAAATGTAATGTATTATAGAAATTGAAATTTACTGGTAATTTTGCACCAAGTGGTGCCACGTTTTCTTCCAAAATCCATTGTTTTTGCAGGTTCAGGTTTGCATGAATTGTATGTTTGTCCACCTCATGCAAAATTGGTTCTTTATCCCCTTTCCATTCCTCATCAAGAGAGTTATCAGTGAGTTAATAAGGAAAATATTTATTTGACTCGGAGGTCCACCTTTTTCAAATGCAAATTTAAATTCTAATTTAATTGGTGAAAATAAGCAGCAGAGGATAGTACAATAAATAATTAACTGATCAGTAGATGAACTGATCCAGAGATGTGGACAGATACCCAGCAATGTTGAGGGGTGTTGGTATTATTAAAGACCTTTCTATCTTTTGGTCAGGGACAGTTTGATTTATCAAGCTGTGCGCTGGCACAGTTCGCCATTTTGTCCGTGCTTGTTTAATATGCAACTGCCGTGTTGATTTGTTTTATACTGTGTTTTGTTTATACAGTCTTACCGTGAACCACGGCAGAAAAGCGCATGAACCTGAGGAGATGGTGAAGGGTTTGTGGTCCGTGCCAGCCAGCCAGAGTCTGCCTCTGATTGAGAACCTGGAGATGGCGGATTCACAGGCCTGTGAGAGGGCACTCAGCAGGGACTGCGTATGACACATCACTGGAGATCCACTCTCCTCACTGTCTGCGTTGACTTCTTGCAGGCACACAAACCTCAGGGTCTTCACTGGCTTGAAGAGAGGAGGTTGTCTGTCGGTTTTTTTTCAGGTCGGAAAAGCAGGATCTGGTATTAAGAATGTTGCAGGGAAATAACTGGCCAAACTGTTGGAAGACTTTGTTTGAAAAGTCTGTTTGAAGTAGCAGTGTGAATTACAGAGATTCTTTGAATATGGAAACTTTGCATCCAATCTCCAATTCTGAGGGACGTTCGCTTTCATTTTTTGCCACCTCACTTTGGGCTCTGTTCATAAAAAAAAAAAATATTTTTGCTCACACTTCGAGGTGATTTGACACTTAAATTGACTTGACGGAAATGTTTGACTGGTCGTTTCAGAAATCCCGACCATATAAGTATTTTGGGTGGAAGAGGGTTTGATCCTTCATTTAAAAAAAAGAACAAATGCTATAGAAAAGTCTCATTTTTCATGGGGTTCCCACAAAGGAATCCAGTTGTCAACTCTGAGTTATTAAAACAAATTAAAAGATTCTGTTCTATGGCATCGCTTTTGTTTTATTTTGCCACTCTCACTTAGGATTAATTTGGTTTACCAAACTGAATATGTGGAAATGAAGCCTCAAGTTACAACTAACTAGAATTAGTTGGGATGTATTTGTCTTTCCTCTCCCCATAGTGAGCATTTATGTAGTTCAGAAAAAAACGTCTACTCTTTGGCTTGGGATCAACTGAGAGCACATTTAGAGTTAACATGCACTCCATGAAAAAAAACTGAAGATCTCATCACTTTTGCATATGTATTACCGAATACCTTTTTTAATGTTGAAAGTAACAAAAATCGATGACGATACTACCCAAGGAGACAAAACTAGGCATTAAGTATTAAAAGAGTATATTAAAATGAGGCTACATTTTAATAGAATTAATTTAATTGAAATATTCTGGTGGTATATATATTATCAGCAAAAACAGAAATTACACTCCTGCAAGCTGCAATCTGGAAACAGGTTGGGCCTTCTACGAATTAAACTACAGGCAAATGGTAAGATCGTGGTATAGTCATACAATTGTTTTTAAAGCTGAGGTTGGTAAGTGTAGTGTGGAAACTCAGCTTTCATGAGAACAGTTACAAACAACAGGAGGCCGTTCAGCCCAACTGACCTGTTTTGTAGTTGGTAGCTTATTGATGCAAGGAACTCAAGGATTTTTTGATGGATAGCCGAGGATCAATTTTCACCACAATGCTGGGTAAAGTGTCATTCTTTCACATCACTTAGTCAAGAAGTTTCTACTGTTTTCAGTTTTAGATTTGACTCCATGCGTTTCCACTTTTGTCCTGTTCTCTTGTGTCTTTCACTGTTGATTCTTGAGAAGACTGTCAATGCCTTTGAGGATTTTGAATCTTTTGGCCTTTGAGGTCAAACTCATTTTATGATTTTAACATGCATTGTTTTTTTACACATCTGACAAGATACCTGAACATTTTGACATTTAGCCTTTTTATTGCTTTCCCATGCTATCTAGAAGATAGAAATGATGTAACATATATAACATTTTAGTACTTGATTTTATAGTTTTGACTACATGTAAACAAGCACAGGGGTTTTACATACATTAAAAATCACCTGGCTAGGTGTTTGCCTAGTCATGAATTACATCCAATTTTTTTTTTTGTTTCATTTTGCTTCTGCGATGTGCAATAATTTTAATCTGGTTGCAACCAACAAAATCTCTTAACATAGACTCTGTGTGCCATTCATTATACTCCTTCTGCCACTGTGTCATAATGTAGAGGCTTCTAGCCCATCCACTGTGGTTCATCAACATTGACCTTATTGTTGGAGAATCCAGGACTGTTGTTTGACTTCAGTCTTCTGGAGCTGTCCTAGAACGGACTTCAAAGAGGTGTGAGAGAACACTTCAGGTACAATAAAAAAAGTTTATTCCTCTATTGTTTTCTACTGTATATTGGTGTATTAATCCAAACAGAGGTTCAGAAATTGCAGTTCCATCGCTTATATTCTACCATTTTCCTGTGATGACACCGATCTGGAGTACTTGAACTGAGCAAGTAAAAACCCCATCAGTGGTGGAGCAGATGTTCTCACGTGAGTTTGATTTCTTAAGCAGCCATCAGGAATGACTAGTTCACCCGGGACCTAAATGGTAATATAATTAGGTTGTATTTTACAGCCTATGAAGATGTACTTAATGGATAAAGCTGTAGGTCACCTGATCCATAGTGCTTAGTATTCTTTTGCTTTCAGGCAGTGATTAGAAACGGGTTGTTTTCTTCACACATTTGAGTCTTTGTGCAAAGGGACACAGTAGCTTGGAATATTCCTCCAAGGCTTGATTCCTCAAAAAGATTAGCTCTTGCCTTAAGCAAAGGTGAAAACCCTTTCAAAATCTTTTGAAATGCTGTATTTTATATAATTTCTAAGTATATATCTTTAAATTCTATTGAAATAGCTTAGTATTTCTTCATTACGAGCCAGATAAGAGGCAGTATGCTTCTAACTGGAATTTTCATCTTTAAATGACTGGTGAGCTCTCAAACTAACGTGGCGATAAATGTTATCTTTACAACCAAAAACTTCAAAGTACATGAAGAGATTTTGTTCTAAAACTCATCTATCAATTTGCATAGAATTCTCCAAACAACCTCAGCAAAGTGGTCAGAAGTTCAGTGTCTGGAGTCAGTTATATTTAGCCTCACACAAGGCATTTTACTTTGCAGTTCTTGAGATGAACATTGTAGTATAATCATAAGATTTTTAAATTTCACCCTGTGTGCTTTTTAAACACCTGATCAGCATATAATATCTTGCAAGTTTCCTGTTGATTCATGTATTGCCTACAATACAGCAGGTTAGTTTGCCTATTGCACTAATCTTTTCTACTCAAAGGTTTGTGTAACACGGGATAAGTAAGGTGTTTCTATTTGTGTGCTGCTTGCCAGCAGGGCATGCTTTTTTCACATTATCTCTGCCCATGTTTGAAAAAGAATATTTTGACATTAACTTGACTGACCTGTTTCCCACAGGTCAAGCCCTGAAATAGCACTGTGAAGCTGGCTGACCAGACCTAAGCAGTGCTGTTAATGATTTGACTTTTGTAATGCATTGAAAAGAGAAAAAATGAAACAAACCTGCCTGTTATTTTCAAAGGCTAGGTTTTGTTATGCCTCTGATTTACTCGAGAGTTTTCTGTATTGAATAAATGTTTTTAGGATTGTGCAGAAAATAAGCTTTATTATAACTCATATTATGTTATAGGTGTCATGTTTAGAGGAGAATTAAGGCAAGTGATTGGACATACTGCGTTATAGATCATAAGGTCAAATACCAGCGGACATCTCTGTTTGAGATGGTGGATAATTGTTCATTAGATGCCACGTACAGTAGTGTTTTTGCCAACCTTACATTAAACTTCAAGACTAAACATGCAGTGTGACAGATCTTGCTCTTCTATGAGATGCATGATTCATGAGATGCATGTCGGAGTAATGTTATTTAGAAAATGTAATAATATTGATCTATTTTTATATTTTTCCAGGATTGTTAGTGCTGCTTCCTTGCAGTTCTTAGGTCCTGGTTTTGGTTCTAGATTGGGGAAGCTTTCGTGTGGAGTTTGTATGGTCTTCCTGCATTGAGTGAGGTTTTCAGCTCCTCCAATATGCTGGCTATTTTAATTGAAATCTCAAAAATTATTCCAGTGTGTCTATCCCGAGAAGGATAAAGTGTCTCATCCAGGATCTAATCCTTTTCTGCGCCCTTTATTTTGGACATAGGGATCAGGTTTCTAAGACTCTTGTCAAGATTAAGTGGTTCTTACAACGGATGGATGTTTAAGGATTGTTTTTACGACAGGCGTATGATTTCAAACATGGAGCAAAAGTGGAGAAACAATGGCTTTCTATATTGCTCATTATATTCTATAATGTGTATTCTTGTGGAATAAAAAAAGAATAACAAAGTATGTTTTTAAGGAGTATGTTTTTGAGAACCTGTCTGCTGTGGGGCATTTCACTAATACAAGAAACAGCTTGATGCCTACATATTTTGCCAAACTAGCAGACGTTTATGTTTAAAAGTAAACACCAGGGAACTGTTTATAGTTCAAGTTTGAAACCTTATTATTCCTTGGATACGTTTGTTAAATAAAAGGGTCAGCATTTGTACACTGAGAATTTAAACACTAAACGTTGTACTGGTTTGTTTTTAAATAGCAGTTATTGCTGCTTTATTCTTCATGATATTTTTTAGCTACCATTTTACATCTGACATGCCTGAAATGGAAAAAATCTGAGTGAAATGGAGGACTTTTTGATTGGCGGGATACAATTGCTTGATTCAGAAAGGTTCTGAATGTCATGTCTCAAGCTGAAATGTCTCTTCTGGATTTAGTGAATTTTATTAAGGTTTGCATGATCACAATTACTCCTTTTTTTTAGTTGCAGCAGTGTAGCATGAAACCACATAACCATCAGGTCACAGTCCCTAAATATAGCAGGGTTTGTAATGACTCATTAGGATTCTAGTGCTAAGTCAGTAACAAGTGTCAAGGTAAGGCATATTTGAAGAACTAGGTTACTGTAGCTTCAGTGGTGACACAGTATAGACCGGGGTTATATTCCTGTCTATAGTAAGCATTGGTGTGGCTAAAAGCTGTTTCTGCTGTATCATAATTCAAAGCATATTGGCAACTAAGTCAAATTATATTCCCATTAGTCATTTCTTCAGCCATTTAAAGAAACCACCTGTGATGTGTCTTAGAGTTGTGTTGGTACAGGAGATCAGTTACTAATATGTGGTTAAGTACAGTTAACTTTACTAGTAGCTAAATAAATGAGTTCTTATAATAAAATGCACATGCAATAAATATTGGAGATCTTAAGATCATTCACATGTAAAAACATTTGCCTGCTTTCTGAGTGTAATTTTCTGTCCTTGTAATTTCCTTAGCTGCAAAAGGAACATGATACTGAAACTCCCTTGTTAACTTTCACAGAACATCTTTCTGCAGCATGTTTCTAATATTTTATTTGGCTGCCTTTGAACTCAGTTGGAAGTTGTTGTAAGTACATCCTGGGTTATTTTCAGTTCAATTGTTTCATATCAGTTTCTAAAGAAAAAATGGTTTGTGTCTTTTCAAGACGGAAATGGAGTTTTAGTGAAATGGTAAGGGTGCCACCCATGTGAATTTAACAATAGTGAGGCTCACATCTGAAGAAGGCTTAACAGTCCAAACGATTCTTCCTTCTAATTTTCAGAGTGTTTCTTTTCCTCTACTTGCTTCTTTTGCTTGTAGCCAGTGCACGCTGATACAGCTCCCTGCTCGAGCTGCTAGGACTTGATTAAATTTGCACGTCTGTGTCCTTTGTATGTGTCCTAAATCAAAGAAGAAAGTTGAAGCAAAGGAAATGTGCCCTGCTTTTCTGTGTTCAACAAAGTACCAGGTGTGTGCCGTTCGGGGCTTTTGTCATAAGCCAGCACGGCATTGTGCCACAACTACCAGTAGACTGCTCAGTTACAAGTTGTAAAGCAAGGCAAACGTAGCATCTGGTGACATTAGAAATCCAGATAGGGAAAAGGAGAGAAGGCCTCTCACTTGAGTGGGTGCCAGGATGATTCTACGAGAATCTTTGCACGGGCTTGTACTTCCTTCTGTGCTGCAAGGCTGGGACACAAGCTGCAGAGCTCCAGTGACAGGCGATGGGCAGTTCTCACAGACTCTCGTAATACAGGATAGTTCACACAGACACCTAATATGCCGCAGGTTGACTTCAACCTCCAGAGCCTAGCGATCAGCCATTTGAGTATCATCCTTCCGAGCACAAATTGCAGTAGTACAGGCAGAGAGAGTACTGTACATACCAGTGATCTTTAGGCTGTCGATCATATCACATAGATCAAGTGAAGGTTGTCCCTTCTCCTTTTTTCTCTTTTGGGCTTGTGTAGTACAGCCCATTCTTCTGTTTATTTGGGAGAATCTGGTTCAAATTGTGGTACAAGCCATGTTTTCACCAGGTGCCCTAATAACTCCATTGACCTTTAGGTAAGTGGTAAGCTAACTCAGCCTCATTTGCAACGATGACTTGCAATGGCAACCCGGTTTTCTTAAATACAATAGGGCATAGTGGAGTGCAAGCTGAGTGAAGTACCCCTGAAAGGGGTACAACAGTGGTTACCATGGATGAGGGTTTTTTCTTTGAGAACATTATTGCCACTTGAAAAGATTTCAGACAGTAAAAGCTGTCTGAAAAGTCAAGACAGGTGACCTGTATGAACAGGTGCAAAGGAAGATTTCTGCTCCTCTCCATCTAAGACACAGGCTGGCTGGCCAGCTTTTCCCACCCTGAGCTGGAGTTCTTCGCCAGCTCCCATAAAATCGCCAACGCTGGCAGAGATCCAGGTGACGGGGTACTGTAGGACAACATTTGTGTAAATGTTTTCTGGCTTGATTCTGAAGTCTTCTCAAAATAACAAACTAGCAGATTGGGAAATCAGACTGGCACTTGACTTTGTTTCTGAAGTGCCCTAGTACCGCTGGTACAGTACGTAGAGAAACGTGGCGTGGACTCGACCGGCTGCAGTCCTGAGCTCCCAGCCATCTCTGCCCTTTCGCCTCTTGCCTGCACTGTTGCCGTTTGTGTTATTCTCCCGCTGACATCTGCTCTGTCCCACCCCCCTGACAGACTGTTCCTCTGCATGCCAGTGGCTGCAGTTCCCAATTTAGACGGAGGAGAGCTCCTGAAGTGAGCACTGTTGGAGTATGTTTAAAGACGGGCTGCTTGGATTTGGGGATTTCTGAAGCGTCGAGGATCAGACGGGCCATTATGGATCCCCTCTCCCAGGTAGGGTACGAGGAACCCCCCAATCTGGGTTCAATGAGCAACAGGATTGTCTGTATCCATAGCCTCTGCTGTTAGAGAGGAGGTCTAACAAAGACCAGGGGTCAGAATTCATTTCTTGCAAGCAGAGGTACTGAACAGAGAGTATTTGTTAAACCACTGACCGAGAAAACTCAATCTTTTACTTGTATAATGGGGGAGGGGGAAAAGGTTGCCATGCGAACGAGACGTTTCAAAGTCGAAATGTGGATGCGAAAGTTCAAGCTTGTGATTTTCCCCATGTCAGACTGTGTGATGTGTTTCAGATCTCAGAGCAATACTGTATCTCAAGGAGGTATTGCTGTTTCTATATTAGTCTTGTGGGGTGTGAAACACATGTCAGTACTGATAATAGTAGCACAAAAGGACTCTATTTCAAACCACGGTAAGTTTCTGTCCATGCTTTTAGAAGCTCATGGCAGTTACGATGCTGAAGTACTGACACATTTATTCGAGGCAAATCGGCAAGTAGTTAAATGCAATGCATTTTGCAATCGAGGCAAAAATAAATGAATTGCAGACACATATTGCAACATTATACAAAAACAAGTTTAGTAGTTTATCTAGCTGAATACAGGAGCCCTGTAGTACTGACATGGCAGATCACAAAGGTAATAAAATGCGATGTACAGGTATGTGGTCAGCAAAACGAGATCACGGCAATCAGGAGCAAAAGCAATAGTCAGGATGAGCAGAGCAGGAAGCAGAATCTAGGGTGTGTTGTGGAGATTTGAGGAAGCACCGGAAAATGATGCAGTTCAGATGCTCACAGGCAACAGGCTTGGTCACACAGTAGATGAGGAGAAGGAGAAGTCAGGGGAGATAACAAAATGACTGGAAGGCATAGAAGCTGTGAAGCAATGGGCAGCAACAGGACAAGAGACAGAAGATCACCAAAGACAGTGAATGAGAACACAGTCCTGCTACTCAAAGTTAAAAAAAAGGTAACATATTCAGGTATCCGTGCTGCTTTGTGGTGTTTCATCTCGTTCACAATGAGATGCTCTGTGCACTTTTTGGGAACTTTTACATGATGGCCGAGGAACAACATCCCTTGAATATTGCAATTATTGTACTGAATCTCAATTAATTGAAGAATAGGTTTCCATTATCCCAGTTGCCGGTACGGATTTAAAGGAGTTTTCCTGTTTATATTATTCTTTTGCTCACCAAATTCAAGCTTGTCCTGGTTGAAGACTAGGCAGCTGATCAACTTCAGTCTTGGTAGATGTAGTAACACAGATAAACTATTTTATCTGTAACAATACCCGGCAACCTAGATCAATCGAGGTGGTGACCTGACCCATACTATATTTTTAAACCCTTCCTCAATCCTCTTCTTGGAAGCTACTAGAATGACAGAATTATCCAGTCAGGATACAGGAGTAACTGCTGGAGACCTGAATCTTAAACCAATTAGCAACTCCAGATTGTTTTTTTTTATGAAAAGAGAGCTACAAGACCCCCGAATAAATTGACAGATTTGTCAAACTTAGTTCAGGTTAGTTTAAGTTTTCTTAGCTCAAGTAATTTTCAGTTGTTTGTTCAAATTATATTAATCACTAAACGAGCCAACAGATAGAAAGGGAGAATTAGTTTAATAGTTTTGCTGTAATTCTCCTGGCTGAGGAAATGACAGTGCTAGTCAGAGATCAGTAGTCTGTCTGAAACAAATTTCTGATGGGAGGCACATTCTCTTGTGGTTGCCTGCATGATTTGTACCTATGTACTAGGGGGTTAGTATCAGTGAAATTGCCTACTATCTCAAATATCCGATTAATTATAAAATAATCTGATGTCTCACTAATGAAACTCAAAGTCTCCTGTAGATCAGTTTTCTGTGGTGGTGACTTGAAAACGCACAGCAAGCTTGTTCAATACTGCCTCGTGTATTGATTAGGTCTGTATAAACAACAACATACTGCAAGTACAGTTGACATAGAGCCTTGCATTGCACAAGAAAGTATTATCCTGCATGTCTAATAGTGGATACCATTTCATGCTATTCTATCAGGTTGAAATAAACAGCACATGCTGTTTTTGCCAGGATGACATGTAGCCAGATAATCTCTGAGGGACTGTGGTTGCTCGATTGACCCATCTTGTAAATTAAGGCCTCTATAGAAAAATACTAGAACTGTTTCTAGCTTTTCAAATGTCAAGTGTAGAAGACACAGATGGAACTATAGTAAGTCTCTAAACTCATTTTCAACTCTATACCTGGAGGAGAAGAACACCCACCCACAACCACAGGATATGAGTACTTTAGCTTCATTTTGATCTTCCCAGTTCAGAACCCCAGACTCTGAGGCGTGTTATTTCATGTTACGTTCTAAAAAATGTATGTTCTTTTCTCCGAAGGTCCCCTTTGTTGATAATGGCCTTGTGATGAAAGATAAAATGGAAGGTAACTCTTGTACATTTCTTTTCCCTCGTGTGCTGATTTTGCAGGCTTAAACCAAGATTCTGTTGTACGAGAACATTTTAATTCTGATGCTCACTTTCTAGATTTGACAGAACCACCACACTGCCTCGAACAATAGAATTTTGAATCATGGGATTTTGACTGATGTATGAGGTACTGCTCTTCTTTAACAGTACACCCATTTCAAGAAAAAAAAAAGCAACTGCTTTCTTGAAATGATAACCGGATGAATGCTGATTGCATCAAAGCACACTTCTGTTTGAAATAATAATCAAAATGGAGAAGGAAGGTTTCTCTGTTTATTGTGTAGATACTGTAATTTCATTTGTCAGTGTGACTATAAACATGTGGGAAGTTTCTGTCCTAAACTGAGCAATGCACTGGCAATGATAACAGTACAGCAGAGCCTGCTTGTGGCCCAATAGATATACAGTACAGGGAGACTACAATATGATGCTTTTGTATCTGAAGCAAAAAAGTAATTATAAAAGATTTTAAAATATTCTTGCACACATACAGAAACAAAGGCATTAAGAAGACAGCAGCATAACATTAATTTGTGAGCAATGCAGAATTTGGCGTATGCTACATTAATGCAGTGTCTATTGCATTAGCAGCATCAGGTGATCTTTATCTTTCATTAAGACTTTCTTGAAATTCTTATTACATTTAAGGTCTAAAGTATATAAGAATACTAACTAAGCTAGGAAGTTTTCAGATGTTTCCTCAACACTGTAATCAATCACATTCTTGCAGAACTAAATCAGAGGCTGAAACTCTTGTTGATTATTCCATTATGGTCCCAGCTTATTCTCCTTTCTACAATTTAGATGTACGCCTCAGGATTCACCATGCATGTGCAGGTAAACGTCTTCTCAGGTGGAGAATCAACAACCAGTTGCACACGTTTGCTCTTATTTTTCTGCTTATAAAGAAAATGCTGTATGCTTTGCTAGTGCTGCAGACATTGCACAGCCTAACACAAAACAACTGCACTGCTCCAGAAGCTGAGTGAAAGCCGTAGGAATTTAATTTGTCATTTTCTCTTGCAGCGCTGGACCCAGATTTTGACGTCTATATGAAATTTATGATGAGTCACTGTTGTTATGATGCCATTCCAACTAGCTCCAAATTGGTAATATTTGACACTACCCTGCAGGCAAGTGTCCCTTATATAAAGCACCTTAGCTTATATCCGATCTGTGTTAAATCAAAACTATGGTCTACTTATGCCTACTTAGGCCTACTATGGCCTACTTATGTTTAGAGTCTGAATAGCTGTTAGTCATTTTCTGCATATGAGGGGCATCTTGTCCACCACTAAAAGTATTTTTAACAGAACTATAGGACCAAGAGTTTAAATTGCTTACAGTACATACAGTATGAATGAGCACGTGACCGAAACACCAAAGGATGCATTTGTTCTGGCATTTCTGTAAATGTAACGTTTTTGTATGTACTACTTTGAAGTGCTTCAGCAAGAGGAAGATCTTTTAAATGATGAGTGACCTCATGTCGCCTATTCCGGTCAGGTGAAGAAGGCTTTCTTTGCTTTGGTGGCCAATGGGGTGAGGGCAGCTCCTCTTTGGGATAACAAGATTCAACGTTTTGTAGGTAAGAGAACTATGATGTTTCTGTTCCCTGTTAGTATGCTGAAATGCAACAGGTGCATGGATGATCATTTAATGATATGGTCCATTCATATGGAGGCTCACTAGGTAGGACCTGTTCACTGTTTAATATATATTCTTTGATATGGCAGTCTTAATAATTTAACAGTGAAATGAATTGGCCTGGGTAAATTACTAGAACCCTTTCTGATCATCTGTATTATCCTCCATGTCTACATGGCTCGTAGCCCAAGGAGAGCTATGTAAATTTAGCAAACAATAAAATGAATAATATCTATAAAATAAATCAAAATGAAAAGTGTAATCAAGCTATTATTGCTGAAACTCATCTGCTTATACAACAAAATACCATATATATATATATGGGTACTACATACTAGGCACTGTGCTGCATTTATATTTTTACAGGAATGCTAACAATCACTGATTTCATCAATATTCTTCACAGATACTACAAATCGCCCATGGTGAGTTTTCAATTCACTTTACGTATGCAAATCATTCATATTGAAGTGCTGTATGAATCTTCAGGACTGAGCCTTTGCACTTCACAGGCCAGGAAAGAAGCACACTTCTTTGATTCAAATATTTTTTTTTCTGAGTTACAATTACTTTAAATTGCTTTTCATTTTTAAGTATAAACACTACACTTAGAGATGGGCTGCATTGACTCGTCATAGTGCTCATTTGAAGGATGTGTGTTAATTTAACTGGGGAGACCCGAGAATATGGCAAATTTGGTTGTTGAAAAGGTGATAGAATTGAAATCCCTGTAATCAGTCTGCTGCGTCACATTGCTTTATTATTCATTGTTAATTTGGTGGGAAATTCCTAGAGAAACATTCTTTTAAGCATTAAGGCTGTCTACTTCATCAGTTTAAATAAGGAACTCATTTCTTTGTGAAGATTTTGTAATATACATACATATTGCAGTATGTATATTTGTCGTATTCTAATATCACTTGTGCTATGCAGGTACAGATTTATGAACTTGAAGAACACAAAATTGAGACATGGAGAGGTGACTTATTATTATTAATTATTATTATTTATTACTTATTTATTAAGATTTTCTCTTGTCATTCATGTCTGTCTGTTTTCCTTTCAGAGGTTTACTTACAATACTCCTTAAATTCCTTGATCAGCATTACGCCCTATTGCAGGTAAAGGATGAACTTCAGACAACCTAAAAATGTAGACAACATTTTAGATAACCACCTGTTTACACTGCAGTGCAAATTAATGAAGTCATAGCACACAATGCCTAGCCATACACGGTCACTACACGGTCATTACTTTCCAAAACCCCTTTTCCCTCTGTTGCCCTTAATTTTCGGAAAGACTCTTGCTTCAAAGCTCTCTAAAGAGTCATTTGTGCAATACACTGAATCTAAACAGCATCACATCTAGTGATTTTTCTGAATATTCCCACTGGATTGGGGTTCTTATCCACCCTTGGAACCCATATCGGTTTTCCCTGTATAACCATGCATTCTAATTTCATGTACAATCATTTCCATTATGTAAAATTATTCCATTACAGAATAGTAAGGATACAGAATACAACATCACACACTTGATAACAAGATTTTGCTTCCTTCACACATTTATAAACTTAAAACCTTTCGCCAAGAAGGCAGTCTCTTTCAACTCTTACTCTTCTGCGAAGCTTTGCATGCTCAGAGGATATTTTAAATAGTTACAACATGGGTGTAGTATTGCTTGGTTGTTAAAAAATGTCACATGAGTACTAAAGTAGAAACAAAAATGGTTCAGAAGGTGAGGATATGGAATTGAATAAACATGAACAACAGCACTCCTCCCTTTCCCAATCACAATCATCTCACCTGCACTTCCTCTCCTTCCAGCTTGTTCGATGCTATATACTCTTTACTGAAAAACAAGATTCATCGATTGCCAGTGATTGATCCAGAGTCAGGGAATGTTCTCCACATCCTCACACACAAGCGCATCCTTAAGTTCCTACACATTTTCGTAAGTAATGTATCATTCTCAGTGATGGTTTGAGTTCTGAGTTGTGCGCTGGATGCGTTTTCTGTTCATTTGAAGTCATGTGCCCTGGTAAGGGTACTGGTGAAAGCCCTTTGATGGTGTGATGTGTCCCTTTTTGGTTGTGTGATGCTTTTGAGTCGCACTACATACATTTCAATTTAATTAAGTCATGTGTCACTTGGTAAGAGCTCGGAGAATCAGATTACGGGATGGGGCATGTGCATGAGAGGTTTTTGTTCCTCCAAAACACAACAGACATCCTGTGGGGAAAATGGATTGCATAAATAAAGTGGGAAAAGACCGATGACCCCCCAGATTCAATGTTTTACCAGTAGTAGTTAAGTAATTTTATATCCAAGCTTGCATCACAACCTGATGAGATCAGGTTCATGTGATTATCTTTTATCCCTCCCAGTGAAATGTGTTTTTAAAAGTAATCATATGCTCTTGCTCCCATCAAGCTGTATTTTGGTTTCTTTGCAATGTTAAGTCAACTGGCTCAAAGGAAACCTCTGCTTCGTAGTTTCTGAAGGAGGCTGTAAATTGTGATAGCATGGCTTTAGATGAAAATGCTAAAACAGCATAAGGTTTTTATGTTTCCTTATCCCGTTCATTCCAGCACACTTACTGCTGGTTAAAAACCAAAACCCAGCGAAATGAAGCTTATCATTCAAATGCCTAAAACAAGGCCTGACCAAAGAGGTGTAGCAGTATTACTCCGATTTACAAATATGTTAAATGAAGAGAACACTTCATGAAGAGAACAGTGTAAAACCTGAAGTGCAGAACTAAAAAGCTGTTGCTTTTCCAAAGGAGGGGAAATAGCCCAGCAAAAAATAAGTTAGGACTGAACTGCAAGCTCAATTCGTTTATGGAAAAACTTTTTTGGAAAGCAAAAACTAAACTTACCTGGAAATGAGGTGCTTCCATTGAACACTGATAATGACCAGATAATCTTCTTTATCATCTGATACAGATTTTGGCTTGAATCCAGCGATATCTTGCATTACCAGACAGGAAAAGGTTAGAAATGTAAAATAAATTCCAATTAACAGGGCCATCGTGATAATTTCAGGAGACTGCTTCTGAATTTGCATGACGGCACTCAAAAACACTTCTGATATTGTGAATAGGTCAATAATAGCTAAATATAATTTCTCGGTTCTTCTTCAGGGTTCAATGATTCCTAAGCCTCGTTTTCTACAAAAGACCATTAAGGAGGTGGGAATTGGGACATTTAAGAAAATTGCGACCGTACATGAGAACGCTACAGTTTATCAAGCGCTGTCAATCTTTGTAGAGAGACGGGTCTCAGCTCTCCCGGTTGTGAATGATGAAGGTACGGTATGTTTCAATGCTCCATGCTGCAATAGAACCACAGAATCCTCACTTCTAGCTTGCCTCATATAGACATATGTGCCTCAGTGAAATTCTACTTTTAAAACAACCGAAATGGACCTTTAAATTTGATATCTGAAGCTGAATCCTAATCTCGCCGCCTTCTGCTCTCCTACATACATGTAGTATATCTTGCCTTCTGGACTTTCCTTTGTGTGTTTCTCTCATACCCATCCTAGCCCCCATCTTCACCCTTGCAGCAGCTCCCTGGCTCATTCCTCATAAAACTGAGGGGGGTTCGGTCAGCGTCATCCTTACCATCAGGCTTTTTGCTAGGAGAATTACACCAAATAACCTCTAATACATCTGTCTCCATATTGCCTTCATTGGAATTTAATCAAACTACTGAATTGAGAGTTGGTTTCCATAGTCACCTTTGACTTGAAGTTTAAGTTTTTAAGTGGCTGTTTTTCAGGTAGGAAAAACATGTCACTCCTTGCTCCAATCAAACTTGAGTTAGACAATCACACAGCTAGGCAGGAGAGGAAAAATGTTAATAAGCCAATAAGATTAAACTCAAAACACTGAACACTGTTTAATGTTAAGGATCTAAAACGTTATCAAAATGCACAAAATAAAAATGCAAAAAAGAATTTTACTGATTGCATATAAATATCTCCACCACTATTCTTGACAGGTGTGATGGTGTCGAGTTGAACGCAATTTTCATTACGACCATTTCGTCTTATCTGACCAGCATCATTTACTTACTTTGTCCCAAATTCCATAATGCTTGAAACTCAATATCTGAGAAAACTTTCAGAGACAGATGCATTTAGTCTGTAGTTAAATGAAACCACTTTGAGTTTTCGGGACTGGATGCTTACTTGTGAGAGCTGGGTGTTTGTCTTCTAAGATGTCTACAGCATGAACTTGTTTATTTGAGTTCTACAATCACTCCCCATATGAGTGATGGCCTACGTTAAGGTGGCAAAGTGTCAGTGGTACTGTAGCATGTTCATTCTTAACTTCGACTTTTTGATTTCTAATATAGAGCACTGCATTGGTTATGACACAAGGTTATTTTTATTTCCTGGCAGTGGTATCTGAGTGCCAAAAATAGGTGGTCGACACAAGATACAAGAAGTATGTCTGTCCAACTTGCAAACCACAAACTGTTATGGCCAGAACTGCACTCCTGCAACATTGAGTACAGAAGATCACATTACACATATTTTTTTATTGAAGTCTCAATTACTGTCCAATTACGACTTATTTGAGTGGCGTGCTGTTTGGAGCTCATTCTATTATAATCCTCTAGCTGTTGCTGCACATATCACACCTTGCACTGTATTTACTGTCTGTCCTGCTATTCTGTAAAGTGTGGCCTGTCCTTAGGTGATGAGTCTGATTGATAGTCTTTTGTGTCTCTTTTCAGGGAAAGTTGTGGGACTCTACTCCCGGTTCGATGTGATTGTAAGTAGTGTATTGCAATGAAAACCCTTCAGTAAATGAAGGTCTTTTTCCAATCATATTGTACAAAGCTTAGTTATGCATTGCATTAAACTCGATATTGTGCTTATGGCTAGAACTGTTGTTAGAGCAGCATAGTGTTGAGGTTAAGCTCATAGGAAAGGTTACAGATGAGATTAGCTAAAAGCTGATTGTTCCAAGGATCTCTTTGAGCCATTTCTTGAAAGGGACCAGGGTGTCAGCTTGAATAACATTGGCTGGATTGCTTGTTCCAAAATTCCTCTGGGTTAAGAAGCCCTGATCTGTTCAGTTTTAAACACCCTTCCATGCAGTTTCCACCTGTGCTCTCCTGTTAGTGTTTCTGTATGTTCAGTAGGATAGTACTCTGGACCAGACTGTTGATGGTTCAGATTCAGATTGAGTGCAGCTGACACTATACCCTTGAGCAATGGGCTTTATTCAAACTGCTCCAGTAAATCCCCTGCTGTGTAAATGGGTACTTTCCAGGTCGTCACTGTTAAAGCGAATTTATTCTCAATTTTTCTCATCTTTGGGTGACTGTGACCTTCCAGGAGATACCTGTGCTCTCATTTTTCCAAAGGCTAACTCTGCCAGTGTGTGGTTATAAATGGTTTGCATTCAATACATGCTTTTATCCAAAGGACATAATTAACAAGTTACACACTTGTTCATTGGTAGTATGGTTTTTGTGTATTAAGTATTTTGCATAGATATTTGCACTGCAAGCTATCTAATCCCTTTTGCTGAGCCTATATAAACCCACCCTCTGTTCCTTTGTCAAAATACTCAAAATAACACTTAGGCTCACATGTACACAGGGGAGAGTTCTATGAGACAGTGCAAGTGGTGATTGTCCTTATATGTCAAATCTGGTTTTGAAACTCAATGAGAACATGGCTTTAGCTACAGTGGGGTGTTAGTATGATGTGTCAAGGATTAATGACTTTTTCAAAACTGTTTACTAATGAGCTGAGTGTCTCACTAAGTAGTGAGTTTCTGTACACAGACTTAGATTGATCCTCGGCCTGATGGTAGAGAAGAACAAATTAAAACATGGGAACCTAGCAAGGGTATTTTGCTTATCGTGTTAATTTAGCAGCTAGGTGAATCACTTAGCTGCTTATCACTAGAAATTTCCAGAAACTCTGGAATGACTAAACATGTGAAATATAGACAAGAACTGAAGAATGCAAACGAGCCGAGAAAGCGGTACAGAAAGAAAAGCTCAAGCAGATGAAGGGATCACTGGGGAGAAATGGTGTCTTCAATTTTGAACTTTAAAGTAGCAGGCTATGGATTTGAACAAAGCTCTTCACCCTATGATTTTTATTTCGGATGTTATTTAAAAAATATATATTCCTTTTCCAGAATCTAGCTGCTCTGAAGACCTACAACAACCTAGACATGAGGGTGAAGGAGGCTCTGCAGGCTCGCTCACACTGCTTTGAAGGCGTGCTCAAATGCTACCCATACGAGACCCTGGAAACTATCATCGATCGCATTGCCAAAGCTGAGGTAGGCATTTTGACAGGGTCTTAAACAGTTTCCCTAATCCACACCTCTTCCTTCACTTGCATGAGCCTGAAGAGCAAGGAAATAAAGAATAAGGTGTTGTGGCCATCAAATAATAATTTTGTTGAACTGAGTTGGTGTAATTTTTGGGCTTTATGATTCCCAGAGGTGTATTTAGGAGACCCTAACTTTATAGAAAAGTTCCCTATGTTGTAACTTAAATTCTACAAATATACGTTTTTCTTACTGGTTTACATGTTTCAGAAACAGACCAGTGCAGTACAACAGCTGTTGTTGTTTCTTCAATTATAACGCAAATTCTCGATTGAACACCCTCAGACGCGCCTAATCCTTGTTCGTTACTCCTTGGCAATGGTTCGGGGGGTGCAGGTTCACCGGCTGGTTCTCGTGGATGATGACGACGTGGTCAGAGGGATCGTCTCTCTCTCCGACCTGCTCCAGGCCCTGGTTCTGAGTCCCGCAGGTATAGACGCCCTTTTCTCTTAACTCCTTGGGGTTGTCCATCCAACTTCATCTTACAACATTTGCCATTGAAGGTAGGCAATGCCGTGTCTGAAACGGCCCATTGTTTCTGCATTAAGAAGCTGCTGCTGTTCCCTCCTGAGCACCCTAAAGTACGGCAGACAGCCTTGGTGGTCTGTGACAGTGAAACCTTGCTCGCACTTACCAGCTCTTGGCACTGCAGCTTCTTTCAGATCTGATAATGGCTACCGAGACTTTTTCATGCGCTTTTCTTGCAGCTGTGCCCTCTTCCTCTGAAAGAGCTCTCTGAAGTTTTATTTGCCTGCTTTTCTCTCAAACTGTGTACTGTAAGCTCTGGCATATCAGAGCTCTCCAAAGTCAAAATTCTTTGCTAATGGCTCTTAAAAGGCATTTAGCTGGGTCTTGAAGTGTAGTGTCCGCATTAAAGCTAGGTTTCCACATTCCTTGCATCAGTAGACTTTTTTTAGAATTAGCTGTGAAGCTTGAATTGAAGGACACAGGTGGATGAGGAGCTATGAGGAAGCACATTTCATACTGAGAACAGGATGTAAAAATACTTCCTGCAAAGGTTAGTAGGAGTATAGAACAATCTCCCAGCCATGATACTGAAGCCAGGACCTTCTGGCTTCTTTTCAGAAACTGCTGGATACAAGTCTTGTATCAATTAGCTCAGAAATACTAAACGAGCTAGACGAGTCGAATAGCCACCTCTCATTTGTAACCATGCTTGCGTTCCTTGCTAGGATAGGTGCTCCAGTTTCCTGCTGTGTTTACTCCTGTTGCAAAGCAATTCGTTAAAAATCTAGCTGTGAAAACACATTCCATTTTAAAAGCATTATTGGAGCTTATCTAGAGAAGGAGAGGGTGGAGAGTTCAATTGAAATGAATATATCAAGCATCAACATTAAAAAACCTCTGACAATGTTTTGTTAATTGAATTCGATTGGTTTTAGTTCTTCAGTAATGTTGCACAGACTGACAGTTGTTAATGTAACTTCTGTTCTCTTTTGTAAGTCCTGTGGCTTATGTATCCATTTCCAATTTGTCTGTATTACACATTCTTTGTCTTTGTGAATACCTCCTGTGCGTACGGTAACGTATGGCACTATATAGCTCCAAAGGGTCAATTTTGCCTGCCTGTTCTGTCAGTTTCCATGGAGTTTGTTTAGCTATGCCACTTCATGATGGTAGAGGCGCTGTTTAATGTAGAGAGTTATGGTGTCATGATCATGTTTTCCGTGAAGAATTCAATTTAGAACAGCACCGAAAACTGCACATTATTCACTGGGCCAACAGTCATTCTTATTGCTTAACTCTCTTCTCAGAGATCGCTTGTTGCACATCCAGCTGCAGCCGCTGAAGTCCGGGAACGATTAAGACGAAGAAAGATTTTTTTGCTTTTCAAAATGGACTTGTTGAAGTTGCTGACGGAGGGCTTGTTCGTGGAGTACTAAGGACAGGTTTGAGAGTTAGTCTCACATGCTTTGGCTCAAAGGCGAATGGCTCATGGGGACTTTTGGACTGATGCAGTTTTTAACTCTGATGCAGTTTTTTTTTTAACTTCATACATCTGTACATAGAATTTTGTATTGGATGTTGGGCTTAGAATATAGACAGCCATAACTCCATGAAGGAAAGGGACAAAATAAATCGCTTTACATAAATAAATCTTTACTGTCTGTTGACTTACAGAAAGAAATGTGTCATAAAGACTTGGGAAGGATGGAGAAGTTTGTAAATGTTTTGTGGCAGATCAAGACGTTTACCAAATGGCAGCCTTATAATGTTACCAACTTTTAGTTTAGCAGCTTCAGCTATTTTTGAATAGAATTTGTATTCTCCAGAACTTTTAAAGGAAAAATAATAGTTCTGAAATTCAGTAATTTATACAGTACTTTGGTAGCTAGAGTGTGGTGGAATATATACAGAACTGTATATGCCTCACATCAGTCAGACATTTTGAATTTAATTGATGTTTTATAGCCTTGACTCTCTTAGCTTTTTCTTTCATGTTTTCTGGTATAAATATTGTAAATTTTTCATACTCTGTAATGTGTGTGCTTAGTTATGGGTCTCGGCCAATTCGACAACATTATCTTGTTAAATAACTTGCCCCAAAGACACAAATGTTTTCTTCTCATTGTTTCCTTTCAGCTAACCTTTAGATTGGCTTTCAGGAACTGTTGGAAGTTGGGGAAAAAAATATGAATTGAAATTGAAAAATGATCATTTTGTATTGAATATTGGGCTTAGACTATAGACAGCCTTTTGGACTGATGCACATCACACCACCACCAAAGTGGGATTGTAGAGTGCTAATTTACTAAATGTACTGTAGGCATGTGTGTGTCACCTCCATTTTCTGCTCGGTGCTGTGTCCTGTGCACTTTATATCAGTAAAAACTCAATGATGTCATTCAAGTGCTTCATCAGTGCGTACCTTGCAAGCTAGGGGTGTAGATTTACAAATTTGTAAGTACAGTACCTCTGATCACTCACTGTGCTTGGTTGCTGCCGAGAGTATTTTTGAGATTTAATCATATTGTTGCCTACAGGACTTCCATGACCCTCTGATACTTACCGTATTACCATTTGAGTGGGGTAGAACCATGCTGTATATTATTCCAGACAGGCCTTCCTGTGAATTATAGCCTTGTTGTGGTCTTCAATATTTTTGGTCATACAATATATTGTATAGCGCCACCTACACATGAGACGTGAATTTAAAACAACATGCCTTTTAAGTTTCTTTTCCTTTATCAAACATTATCACATGAACTAGATTGTTAGTGACCACTACTAGTCTGATGTTGACTTTTCTTGGGTGTGCCTCAATAGACGTTTTACCTGTCCGTTAGATACTCAGTAGTTGTTGAGCTCGGGATTTGCCTAAACTATAGCGCCAAACGTAGACAGCTGTTGTTCAGAATATATTGTAGTTTATGCTAAATCCTGTTATTACAAAAACAGCAACAACAATAATAATAATCGCCTCACATGAGACAGACATTGAATTTTATTGATGTTCTTTAACATCTGCACTTTCGCAACATAATCGTTCACTTTTTCTCGTATAAATACGGTACCATAATCTTATTTACGCGTTAGGAGGACGAATCACGAGTGGTGTGGACAGAAATATGCAGCCCCAGATAATCTTTCTGCGTTTCTTATTATCTAATCTAAAAAGAAATATTGGAAACCTCGGAAGTCAAGTCATTCATTTTCTGTTCTTTTTCTTTGAAAAGAAAGTGACAGAAAATGTAGGTGGCTCTTCTAAAAAGCCTTTAAAATAGAGAATTTTTAAAGTCTGTTTTTTCACCGCGAGGTGGCACCATAGGATCAGTAATTTCTGTTTACGATTAACGCGCTTGTCCGAGACTGCTCTGTTCTTTTTATCTTTTTGTATCCACTTGTTGTTCTGCCGAAAAGAAAGACGCAAATATTTCTGGTGTGCCACTAAAAAACAAGTAAACCAAATTTTCCGTTTTATAAGCCCTGTTACAGATCAAAGCACTCTGTAGCGAAAACCTTGTTTCCAGTCCTTTTACCCTAAATAAATGTGGATACAGCTACCCACGGCTGTGTCTCAAACACCAGTTTCTTTTTCCCTTCCTTCGCGTGTGAAGTGGACAACGTGCCTTTAAGCATCACATCTTTATGTTCATTCACACAGCTGCTCTTCGTTTGCAGTGTAGTACTCACAAGAGGCACAGGACACAACAGGGTACATAAGAGGAACCAGAACAGAATGGGGAAGGACATGAAATACAACATTAACCCACATTACCTGCGTGTTTACCTCCATGGAGTGGAGCGCTGGGGTCAGTTTCCTGTGCCATCTGTGCGGGGTTTGTATGTTCACCCCAGATTCACATGGGTTTCCTCCGGGTGCTCCAGTTTCTTCCCACAGTCCAGAGACACACTGGTAGGTTAATTGGCTTTTGGGAATACTGGCCCTGGTGTGAGTGTGTATGTTTGTATCTGTTTGTGCCCTGCAATGGACTCGCATCCTGTCCAAGGTGTACCCTGCTTTGTGACCATTGCTTGCTGGGATAGGCTCCAACTCCCCTGCAGTCCTGTACTGTTCTCTTTTATCCTTTCCCCTCTGCCTTCAGCTCTGCGGCGTCTTCCCCTATCACCCCAGCTAAGTCTGACCTCTCCTCTCACATAAAGCACCCCTTTTTCCTCAAACTTTTGTTTGTTATCCCAGCGGGAAAGGAACTTGCTGTCTTATGGCCCTGCAGCTGTCCCAAGCCCTGTTCTCAGCATGTACAACTTCCTGACAGAGGTTTTCCTTGATAAATAAAATTAAAACAAACAAACAAGATATGAGAGTCTAGTCCAGATCCTCATATAGGAAAACAGCGCACATGGTTCAGACCACAAACAATTCTAGGGCCCTGCCATTTTATATACATTTTAGGCTCTGCATTTTGCGCACAGTCTTCCATATGCTTGCCGTCTCAAACGCATTCATTTTAATGGCATGTGACATGTATTATGAACTGAAAGAGAGATTTTTCCAATGCAAAAGAAGTACAACTAGAACTGTGCGAGCTCAATTTTATGGAGGTCAAAACCCCGCAGGTTTGAAGTGCAGTCCACTTTTTGTGTGGGAAGTAAATGAGAAAAACAAGAGCAGGAGAGCAGCAGTGTTGGAACCCATGCAAGTTTTACGTCTGTGTCAGATGCTTTTCACCAGCTTGCAGATGCTGTTAGGGGACTCCTCTTGTAGAGCCTGGACAAGCATGTGTCTGGACACTGGTCTCTGAACCATGTGAGATGCCACATGTCATCCGAGCTCTCCCCACTGATGTTCCATGAGGCTTTAGTCTGACACGTAGAGCTTCCACAGCTTATCGGTCAGATTCTCATCTTGCAAGAAAATCTTGTTGCACAAACGGCATGAGGGCAGACATCATGACAGGACAAGGCCATAGGAAGGGCCACACCTTAGGTCCTAAGATGTGATCAATGCAATGCTGTGCAGACAAGTTGACATCAACCACAACAAGGGGACGTCTGTAGCAACTACACACTCCTACCCACGTCATCACACCTGGACCTTCCATATAAACAGGCTTGCTGAGCTCCACAACTAAGACATCATCATCCATATCTGTGTCACACTCGCTGATGTCCATCAAGGTGGTCTTCACGAAACTCAATCCTGCCTCTAATAAGTGGACCATTTCGGTTCATTTCTGTGCTTTTCACCAGGGCTTATGCACCAAAATCCCCTCAGTGTATCATGATCAGCCATGAATAGTCAATAAAATTGACGACACAGACTGTCGGCATAGACATTTAATCTTTATCCAAAAATCCATGTACTATATCTTCTACAAAACACATTAAAATCTTAATGATATATTTTGTTTGATGCTCTGTAGAAGTGGTTTGAGCCTCCATTACTCAGTTCTTTAGAAACCTGTATCAGAGTAGAGTAGACTGTTGTGTGCAATTTCCACAGAGGCAAACAGCAAAGATACAGAGCAGGAAATATATTTTGCACGGATCTTTAATATGGTAAAGATCTACATAAGGCTGTTCACCTGTTTTTAATAGAACAGTATTGCCACTGACTTTAGACCTACTTCTCGAATTAGCCCTGGATATGTACTATATGAACCAGCCACAAAAACTTAGTATCATTTGCAAATTATTCTTTTTCCTTTGTTCTTCAAGAGGAACAACCGTGACAATGGTGTACTTAAACCACTACATTTATGTATTGGAGGTTTACTGAATACTTTGTATGAAGCACAAAACACCGCTCCACAGGTAACAGAGAAAGATCTTAGATAAATGCATGTCCCCTGCTGAGGGTTGCTATACCATAAAACCTAAGAATATAGAATGAAATGAAAGGGAAATCCAGTAGCCTTTCTTGATTACAGGAGCTCTACAGTTATGGGTGAATTCAGTGTTTTTATGTTCAACAGAAGGAAAACGCACAATGTGTTATGTGTTTAAATACTACCAAGTATTTACCTATGAGAGTACACAATTCCTTAAAAATGAATTCACCACCTTTCAATAACATCCCACTTTGTTAAATTACAAATGATGCATGCTCATTGCATTGAAGTGAATAGCTTTGATCAAAACCTGACTCCTCAAACTGGATACGCTTAGGAGAAATTAAATGTCAGCAAAATTAAAAACTAAAATGTGTTGATTGCAGAAGTTGATTTGGTGTCTCTGCTATGAAAAATGTAAATTGGCCCAGGTGCAGAAAGTTACTTAGACGACTATTTAGTTTTTGGTTAAAAATAAGAATGGAAAAAAATGTGAGCAGCTTCTCTAATTCAACCAAACTTGATGTCATTGGAAGGGAGTGAATACTTTTACACCGCTCTGTATATTGTTCTGTTTTTTTAAACAAATAAAAATGTTTAATTTTCTTGGCAGTACTTGTCCTTCCTTGTGCATGCCAGACCAATTCCCTCTCTGTATACCCTGGTTGAAGTGGTGTCGTGTTGTTTGCTTATACAACAGAACTTCAATATGAAAGCCTGCTGGTCTGGACTTTTGGCCAGATTGTGCTCCCAGACCACTTTGGCCATTTCCGTAGGTGCACAGCTAATACAGAATAAGGGGTTTGTTTTATTAGGCAAGTATCAAAACTCCCCTAAGCATCAAAAGAAACATCATGTGG